GCCTGTTTATCCGTATGTATCAATATTGGTCAGGGGCAGGGGCCATAATATTTCCATAGTTATCATATGCACCAGTCCACAGCAACCCATATTCATAACCCTATCAATTTTTACCACATTTCACAATAGTCTTGCATCAACCGGGGATTGTCCTTGGGTGCACTTATATAGTGCAAACAGGGATAATTGCCGGCTGATGTCCCATCAAATTTAGAATAAAACTGTTCAACGGGCCTCTGCGAGTTGGCTTCGGCTCCTCGTACGCCTTCCAAAGGTCCGGGACCCTGTGGTGCCGTGAAAGGATAGAACAAACAAATAATAATAATAAATCCGCAAGGCAGCTTGTGGCGAGCTGTTGGGCAGTGGCGACCCCACGGACCTGACTCCCGGGAGGTGTCTTGTTCTTCTCTCTCCGGTTAGTCCTCGTGACGAGCTGGAGTGAACACTGATGAAGAACAAGCCCTCCTACCTCATTCTAGCCTTAATTGGCTGGCTTGAGTGGAGATTCGCAAGAGTAGGAGTTGAAGGAGACTCGGGGGAAGGATGTATCTCAGTAAGGTGCTGGTAGGGGTCTTGACCGTACTTCCGGGATTGCTCTGAGAGCCGTGGGATGCCTCTCCTTCCCCAAGCAGCTCAACGTATGTTGCCCCCGTGTCGCTACATGCTAGCGGCCGTTTCCGGGGGCCCATTAATTGAGTTTGCCAGTCACCCCCTGCCTGTTTATCCGTATGTATCAATATTGGTCAGGGGCAGGGGCCATAGTATTTCCATAGTTATCATATCCACCAGTCCATAGCAACCCATATTCATAACCCTATCAATTTTTACCACATTTCACAATAGTCTTGCATCAACCGGGGATTGTCCTTGGGTGCACTTATATGGTGCATACAAGGATAATTGCCAGCTGATGTCCCATCACATTTAGATTAAAACTGTTCAACGGGCCTCTGCGAGTTAGCTTCGGCTCCTCGTACGCCTTCCAAAGGTCCGGGACCCTGTGGTGCCGTGAAAGGATAGAACAAACAAAGAAAAACGGAAAGAATCTTAAACTTTATTGTAACATATTTGATTTAACTAATAGATCCAAATGAATGGTTGATAGATACAGTAATTTCAATAACAGAACCGATTGATAATAGAAAATAAATGTCAGTCATATTGCTAGAATATGTGAATTTTAAGGATTAATCAGTAAGTATCACACAGTTTGTTTGCAATTACATATGATACGGAGGATATGTGTAAGAGATAAATGAAAACTTTTAACGGATATAATAATATAGCTACTTTATTAGATAGAATTTTGAATAACTTTTAGTGTTTAATACTGGAATTGGACATATTTGAGCAACATGATGAAAGAATATGAAAGTGAGTAAAATACATTAGATGACAAACTTATTTGTCCGTTAGGTTTGGTGTGCTTGTTTGCATATGCTTCTCTCTCCTCATAACGTAGTGTCGTACTTTCTATAATATGTGAGCTTGAGTCAGAATCATAATTGGTAGATGATGAATTTCCTTGACTGTCGGATGTATTCTGCTCCACAGAACCTCCTTGGCTCTCTGTGTTATTTTTTGTGTTCCTTCCAGCTTCTGAGTCATTACTGGAGGGATAAAAGTTTCCGCTTTGATGGATGATTGGCTTCAATGCGTCTTTGTTATTTTCTATCGATTCCGGATAAGTATTGTCAGATTGATTAACATTAATTGCAAACGAAGTTTTATTTCCGGGATTTACTGAGTAGGTGTTACCATTCTGAACGACTACGCCAGTATAGATATCATTTTTCCCAGGATGCTCAGGATATCTGTTACCAATTTGCGTAATACTAGCTCCGTATTGAGCGTTTTTATTCTTTCCTCGATAGTTATTATTCTTTTGTACGAGAATAGGTCCATACACATTCGTTCCATTAGGATTGTCAGAATAAGTATTGCCAATTTGCACGTCTCGGGATCCATACACGTCGTTTTTTCCCTCATTTTCGGGAAAAGTGAAGTTTTCTTGGTAAAGTCGGGAAGCAAAATAATTTACTAGTCCAGTTCTGTTTGAGGTAATATAATGGGAACTCAATTTTTTTTCAAGGCCACTAAGAAAATTATCAAATTTCGGCAAGCCTCGTCGCAGCCTTTTACCTCTTTGTGATTCATCAACATGATTTGTCTGCTCTACGTATGATTTTGGAACAATCTTGAGAGTGTCTCTTTTCTGTCTCATTAAGGCTTCCATTACACGATCGTTTATATATGCAGGTGTCCGCATTCCACTGAGTTCCGCTTTTAGTTCTTCATGCTCCTCTGCTTGTATCCCTTTAACGAAAAAGAATACAAATAAGATTTTTTATAAGCAAAAAAGGACCAAAATTTCGGAAAACAAACAATGTTAAGTACTTACTCGAAATAATAATACCAGTAATAAGCAACGTTAGTATGGTAATAGGCAACATGCCGGCTACACTATGCTTTCAACTCGCACGTCATGCGCGTGTGGTAACACTCCTAAGACTGTTTCATGAAATTTACAGTTAAATAAATTAGTTTCATGATTCATTATCCTTATTGCGTGCTAAAATTTAATCATAATAATTGAAATCACGTGATCCGATACAGCGCAGTAACAAGTCATTGACCTTGAATTCAACTGGCCCTTGATTTGGTAGGGACGTACCAAATAACAACGAGCAAATACCTATTGGTAGTTATTATTCGAACACGCGTTAGCTTAGTGAACACACAAGAACGAACACGGGACGGCTTTAGACCGTTAAATACAATTGTGTAGGTATTTGCAGTACAGACGCACTGAAGAAGTCAAAAGGAAAAGACTATTGCTGACGAAGACATTAGTAAAACTAAGATTTGTAGCTTACTATATTCCAGGAACTCGGTTGCTTGAGCTATGAACTTTCTGACTTTGATTTGCGTCAGTAATTTAGTCAAATTTGTATCGACCAATCACAGTACACCTGTAGCCTGTCTACACAATTCGCGTTTAATATAAGTTTTAAATTTTCGTTCATTAAGATTTAATACACTTCTTGGAATTTTATTGTAACAATTTACACAGAACCCCATAAAGGATTTCTGTACTTTGGACAGACGGAATCGTGGCACAGCCAGCCTATCTTGTATTAAAATTATGTCTATCGCTTCTTTTTTCAAATAATCGCAAATTTTTCCTTACATGCATAATATTTTCATATATAAACTGACAAGGCACCGTCAGGATATTTATCGTTTTAAATAGTTCTCTCAGAGGGGAGGGGGAGGTCTCGAGGGGACAAGTTATATACCGCTCGGATAGCCAGCTTTTGTAGAATAAATATTGATTCTACTTCCGCAGCTCGACCCCACAGCAAAATTCCGTACGACATAATGCTGTGAAAATAGCTAAAATAGACAAGCCTTGCTGTGTTCACGTCTGTGAGCTGTCTTATCTGTCTAACTGCAAAAACAGCAGAGCTTAGTCTCCCCGAAAGCGTCTTTATGTGGGAACCCCATTGAAGTCTATTGTCTAGTGTGATACCTAGAAACACTGTCTCGTTTACAAATTCTAACTTTTGCCCATTTAAAATTATGCTACAATCATTACTGTGTACGTTGGGCAAGCTAAATATAATACATAAAGTTTTTTTCTCGTTAAGTTCTAAATTATTGACTGTAAACCAATTATGAACTTGATGAATGGAGCTGTTTACTTCGTCAAAACTATTAGAACGTCGACCTATTTTAAAAATTAATGATGTACCTATCATCAGCAAACTGCACCATACTTGGCTTAGCTTTAAATAGAAATGGCAAGTCATTAACTTACACTAAAAAGAGAAACGGACCCAATATTGAACCCTGTGGAACGCCCATTCTTATCTCAGAGCCCTGTGAGTTATAACCACCTACATGAACTCTCAGCTGCCTATCCTCTAAATATGATTTTAGTAGACGGAGTGCAGTATGTCTAATCCCGTAATGATCTAATTTCAGCAAGAGTGTTTCATGATCAACGCAATCGAACGCTTTTGAGAGGTCGCAAAAGACACCAACAGCATCCTGTGCTTCCTCCCAAGCACCGAGTACTTCCTTTATCAACGTGACACCGGCATCAGTTGTACAACGACCTTTAGTGAAACCGTATTGTTGGTGATGGAAGATGGCATGTTTATCAAAGTGATGAAGCATCCGAAATAGCATTAACTTTTCGAACACTTTTGTACAAATCCCATAGAAAATGCTTTCAATCTCGATACGAATACTTTCTCGATAATGTTCGTGCTAGGCACACCTGGTTCACCACTGCCGTTTACGGGTTAAGTCATCAGCTGTTCATGAGGCCAAAATTTTGACAGTTGTAGCGTTTAATAATTTCTTAGGCAAAATTGTTTCAGGCTAATAACAATAATCCACGCTCGGCTTTAATATAATCAATATCATACCTAAATAGTACTTGAATAAAGCAATACTGACAAGTATAAAAAAGTTAAATTTATAAATAAGATTAAGTTATAAAAAGCGTTTAGTTTTACTTCGAACTTTTTAGTGTAGTAATAATCTTTGTCGTCAGAAGGAAGTTGTAGTACAGTGATATTTACATCAATAAAATTAATTGGACGTCATATCGCCGGCTCTGTGCTACGCTACACTTTATAATAGCTACACAAATTCTTATTATTAACCCGAATTAAACTCCGTAGCTATGGGCGATTCCCGTAAAATTAAGGTAAATAAATGAACAACATATTATTCTAATTAAAAACGGTTTCTTTATTTGTTCAAAAATAAAGTATTATTTCTCTCAAAAAATTTTAAATAATTATTTTAACGTGCCTACAAAAAACCAATACTTTAAATTAATAAATTATATTAAAAGTAAGTTGATAATTTGTTTATAAATTGATAAACTAATCAGTTTGACTTTGACATTTCCCGAATTGTTATCTAACCTAACTTGCTCGTCTCGTATGTCGATATCGTAAATTACGAAACTTAACGAAATTGCGATGGCTTATGACTTAAAGCAAGAAGAAGAAGTGAAGGAGTACATAGAAAATCTCGGCATTGAATATCGGTTCGGGTGTTATAAAGAGCAAAAGCCGGAAGTGTGTCATCTTTTAGGAGATTACTTAGAGGCTATAAAAAAGGATTTTGATAAGGCAGCGAAAGTGTTTAAGAGCAATTGTTTGGATTATAAATTTGGGAAATCATGTCTGAAGATTGGAAACTATACGCTTGTGGGTCGAGGGAGGGAGAAAGGTGATCATGCAGAGGCATTGAAGTACTTTGAAAAAGGATGTGAATATGGAGAGCCTGGAGCGTGTCTCCACGCCGGTTTGCTGCTTACGGCCACAGGACCCGGCGTGACCATACAACGGGACGTGCCCAAAGGTAATTATAACCTTTCATTTTATTGTATTCATAAAAAAATCATGATTTTCCCCTGGAACACCTACAAAGATAGCAAGATTTATAAAAACACTGATTGTTATTGAAGTGATGTAATTTTCCTATTGATGACATAGTTTAATCACCTGTTATTCATTATACAAATTAGAATACATCATCATTTAAAAAAAAAGTTAAAAATTTTATGAAGAACATTTCTATGTTACACAACCTTAAAAATAATTTGTTAAGTATTACAAAGTAAATGTAGTGTAGAAAAGAAATAAAAAACCCTTATTTAATTTTAGGTTACAACTACCTCAAGAAAAGCTGTGACCAGAATGATCCAATGGCGTGCCACTACCTCTTCGGAATGTACCTGACTGGTGTACCAAAGAATGTAGCAGAATTCAACCCTCACAATCCGGAGAAAAACAAAAACATAGAATACTTAATAAAATCAGATAAAAAACAAGCGTTCCAATTCGCAAAGAAAGCGTGTGAACTCGGTCACATGTATGCCTGTGCAAATGTCAGTATGATGTATAAAAGAGGCGACGGAGTAGAACAAAATGCTGAGGAATCAAAGAAATTCTTTGAAATCGCACAAGCGTTACAGAAAGCCCATGAAACAACGAAAGAGGTTAAATTCCAGCAAGGATTAGATGACAAATAGTTTTAAATGGATTTGAAATTTCGCATTTATTTTAACCTTCCAACCACTTTCAACATTTCTCAGTGCCCCTAGAACTTGCTTAAGGAAATGTGAATGAAATAAAATTATGAAATATCACTGAACTTTAACTATTTTTTACATTTATTTACATAGATGTACTGTTAAAATTAATATTGTTGAAGTTTTACTAATAAGTAAATAGAATGAGAAACAAAAATCTGAATATTTTGTGACGCAGGAAATGGGGTACAGAAATGTTTGTTTGTTAAAAAGTAAAATATGTATAGTATTGTTGAGTGTAGATGTATAAATAAATTATTACAGCACAACTATGACTTTATTTATCAATTAAAACTAATTCCACAATCCCCAATTCCCAATCCTCAATTACCAATACCCAATTCCCAATCCTCAATTCCCAATCCCCAATTCCCAATCCCCTAATCCGGAGCCCCAAAAGGTTGGAAATTCACTTGCAACTCCTCTGGTTTTGTAAGCGTTCGTAGGCGTCACCGACTGGTTACGATCAGTAGGCCTACCATGACTTCTTGTCGCAGTTTTCCGGGCGAGAAAGAGGGATGGGGCTATACACCTTTTATAGCTCCATCCCTCTTTCTCGCCCGGAAGATTCACGCTTTAACACGTCATGGTAAGATGATACGCCGGATAGTTTGACGTCCTTTCCCATTACAAAAAGAACTGGTAAAAATAACAGACTGTCTTGGAGAGTTATTTATTAAATAGTTAGCTTTCTCACGCGTTGATAAATAGCAGCCTGTGTTAATCCAGTGCAGCAGTCTAATTACTTAAGTGATTAAGATCCTTCTGAAGGGTCCTACAATCATCGTAGGTATGAACTTAATTTACAGAATATTTTTTATGTCTTCAGCATACATTAAATAAGGTATGGTATTTATGGTAATAATCAAAGGCATCAGTGATGTCAAATAGATTTGCGTTGTAAAACAAAGGTCCCAAATAACAACCCTGGGGAACTCCGCTAGGGATTTCAATAAAGTTGGAACGGTAACCTCCTTATACTACACAGCTTGTGAACACTTAAACAAATATAACTGTATCCATCGTAAAAGATGCGTAGGCGTATTCCCAGTCTGTACAGTTTACTGATCAAGATGACGTAATCTACACGATCGAAAGCTTTTTCAAAATTTGTGTAGATCATATATTTCATGTACACAATTGACCTCTTTACAGATTTATTATAAGTATAATAATAAGTAGATAGATAATTAGACACTTATATTAAAGTTGTCCAACGGGCCTCTGCGAGTTGGCTTGGCTCCTTAACGCACCGTACGCCTTCCAACGGTCCATGGATCCTGTGATCCCACAGAAATATAAAAATCTATGTGTGATCCCGTGAAAGTAAACGAACACAGTAGATAGATTATCATATGTGTGTTCATAATCAGCATATAAGGTAAATATATTCACTATTTGAAAATTAATAAATTCGGATTGGTAGGAGCCTAGAGACACTGCAATTTATATGAAAATAACAACACAAGTCACTGACTTTATATCTGTATACCTATAATAGTAGCCATAAATTAATTTGACACAGATCGGAATAATTGGCGGGTCAGGATTCGATGACCCTACCCTGTTCGAGAATCAAGTTGAGAAGGAAGTGACGACACCGTTTGGCAACCCGTCAGATGTGTTGATTGAGGGGCAAATCAAAGGGATCCCTTGTGTGCTACTAGCTAGACATGGAAGAAAACATCAGTTTCAACCGAGGTAAGGATAGACTCAGTTTAGAGTTCAGAAAGTCCATATTTAAAATTAAACTTTATAACAAAAAGAGAAAAGGTTGAAAATCTATTAGAAATTCACGAATCACCATTACCAAATATAATCGTTTTTTATATTAAGTAGTATATTTGAAATAAAATCGAAAATGAATTATCACAACTAAGATTCCACCGAAGACAGCAACAAAGCAGATACAAGTGCAGTAATATACCGTAGCCTCGGCCCGGATCAGCAGAGAAGAAGCAATTTGATTAGGTATCCCCTAAAAAACAGCATAGATAAATTATTGTATAAAAAGCGGGCTGTCCCTCTCCCAGATAAGTATATTTCTTCTCTCTGAGTACTTCTGAGGAATTCTTCATTATTAGTACCTAAATATTAACTTACTCATATATATCTAAGTACGTAAGTAGGGGTATTATAGGTATATTTTACAAATTGACCTACCTATACTTTCTTCCAGTGATGTCAACTACCGTGCAAACATCTGGGCCCTAAAGCAGGTCGGGTGCACACACATCCTGGCGACCACTGCCACCGGCTCGCTCGTCGAAGAGTACAAACCTGGCGACCTCGTCATATTGAACGATTTTATTGATAGGTGAGGCAAATAGATAGGTACTCTATTTTAATTATACTCTCGCGCAGATTCGCTCGTTGCTCGGCTTCTACAGATCGTAGCGTAATGTTTTATAGCCTAAAGTCTTCCTCGATAAATGTACTTACAAACACAAAAAGAATATTTAAATTTGAACAAGTAACTGCAATTATTTCCTCTGGAGTGGAAGGTCGCACAAATTATTATGCTGTTGAAACCAGAAAAATTACCTGAAGAAGCGAAATCGTACAGGCCCATAAGTCTGTTACCTATTCCATTGCATTTCACAGTAAGCATGCCACCATCGATCAAGTGCACAGACTAACAAAAACAAAAAATATCATGGATTCACTGGAAAGTAAATCCATATCATAATTACTGTATCAGTGCATTCTTGGACATATCTCAGGCGTTTGATCGCGTGTGGCATGAGGGATTGTTATTCAAAATGAAAAATACCAAATCACCTTTACGGAATATTAAAATAATTTCTCCAGCAGCGTCATTTTACAGTACAACAAAGGGCAGCAATGTCTGATCTCTGCCCTATAAAAGCAGGTGCTCACAGGGTAGCGTTCTGGGCCCCATACTCTATTTACTCTTCACAGCGGATCTGCCGATATCAGAATCCTTAATCACTGGGACCTTTGCTGACGATACCGCTATACTAGCTTCACATAGCGACCCAAAAATAGCCTCACAAATACTCCAAAAAGGGCTAAATAGGCTATCCGACTGGCTCAAAAAATGCGAGAATTCCACTCCTTAGCGGTTCTTATTATAAAACTGGAGGCGAACTGTTGCGTGTGTGTAGGTGGGATGTCCACTATGAAGCGATGACATCACTAAAAATAGAAAGAAGGTTCACATTAATAAAACCTGCGTCAAATAAAGTTTACCGTTTGAGGTTACCGGAACGTTTCTCCCTTTCATTATAATTACCTTTACCTACGCCTTTGTCTACCACTGGGAAGTGCCCACTGCCGAGCAAAGTCCTCTTCTCTTTTTAAGATGCAAACGATACTCTTTATGATACGCTACGCGATATGGCGTACTCATCTTTGATAGGTACAGAAGATACGCCATCCAAACGCATTAAAAAACTTTGATATTTACCATCTGAAAAGTATCGCCCTGTATTAAATAACATCATTTTTACTTTGCAGAACTTGGGGTCGTAAGTGCACGTTCTACGATCGCACTGAAGGCGGTCCTAAAGGAGTATGCCACTTACCAATGCGGCCTGCCTTCTGTGAGCGTGCTAGGAACGCCATGATTGTCGCAGCTAGAGCCAGAGGGTATAGGCATCATGAAACTGGCACTGCCGTCGTTATACAGGGACCTAGGTATGAAGAACTATAAATTTATTGTAGGTACAAATGTGTCGGCTCGACACGAGTTATACCACGGCCTCACAGAAAACCGCCGTGAAGCAATCACAGCGTTGTGTTTAGCCATGTGAGTGAAGTTATCAGAGGTCCAATCCTTGCCCTCCGCCCTTCCCACCATAACCTAAATATGGGATTCCATAACCCCTAAATATGGGATTCCTCAACCCCTTAAGGGGCCGTTTGCCGACGTATCTATAAAAAATGTCATTTTTATATGATTAATTTAAAGTTTTAACAGGCTATACGCGAGGCATTTAAAACTGAATCTTGATAATACTCAGTGCGAATCATTCAATTATTTAGTAACTATAGCTTCTTGCCTGCGGCTTCGCCCGCGTAGTTTGTTGATATGCCTATGTATAGCCTATGTCCTATTCCGGAATGTATCCTATCCTAGCCTGTGCCAAATTTCATCCAGATCCTTCCAACCGTATTGGCTTGATTGAGTAACAAACATCAAAACATCGTAACTTTCGCATTTATAATATTAGTAAGATAAGCCAGTCAAATATAAGCCTAAGTATCATTTCTTTTGCAGATTTTCGAGCAGAGCTGAGAGCCTGATGCACCGACAATGGGGCGGCCATCTTGTCAACATGACCACAGTCCCAGAGGTAACAAAATGGCCTTAGATGACAAAACTAATTTTAACCTAAAAATAAACTTATATAATGTATGCTACTAGATAAAAATTTAGTGAATATTTCCAACTTTCCAAAATTCTATTATACAAAAATCTTTTCAAGTTAACCTACGGTACTAATAACTTACCTACCTACGTATCCGAGCGGACGGCGCGTAGCATTCCGCGCGCGCCTCAAAGGGCTGATGTTCAGCCAGGGTTGCGGGGTAAATCCAGAGGTGTCCAGAACTGACCAGAAGGAACGGGGTGGTTTTTAGTCAGTAAGACTCTCTGTCTCAGTCCTCGTCCCTGGGCGGAAGAAATCATTTAAACATTTTCCCCTCACAAAACTTCAATTACCTTAAAAAAAACTATCAAAACTATTAAATTTCCAGGTCGTACTTGCGAAGGAAGCAGGTCTAAGCTACGCTGCGGTTGCTCTAGTCACAGACTACGATTGCTGGAGGGAGAATGAAACATCAGTGAGTACCTAAGTATACTTATATACTATTCAATTACAAGTACGCCTCTTTTATGCAATGTTCAAATAGATGCCATTTTATATAAGCCAAATTCCAAACTGCTATGAATTTTGAATTGTATTCAGGACCTTTTATGGTAAGAGTGAAATATTGCGAGAGTTGAAAATCCGAAAAAATACTTTACCAAAGACGAAGAGAATTGTTTGGTAAAACTAATCTAAGAAGACGAATACTTAGAATTAGTTTGGTAAAACTAATTTTCTTAACTACAAACAAACCCATGAGATCCCTTGCGTGTGTCATTCCATTCTTTTTTTATGTGATAGGTCGTCAAACAAGCGGGCGCATTACCTGATGGTAAGCAATCAGCGCCGCCCATGGACACCCGCAACAACAGAGCAGTTACGAGTGTGTTGCCGACCTTTTGCGGATTAGGGATTTGGAGATTTAGGGATTGACACCGGTAACCTCACTCACACGGCGAAACCCAACGCTGTGGTTGTTTGACGCCGGTTTTCTGTAAGGCTGTGGTATCACTCCGGTCGAACCGACCGATTCGTGCCGAAGCATGGCTTTCCCACACTAATTCTTATCCGATTATGTTTAGCTAGCAAGTAATTAATTAATTATGTGTAGGTGTCAGTAAGCGAGGTTCTAGCAATGTTTGCTAAGAACGTGAAGAAGGCGGCTGACGTCATCATTGACGCAGTGCAAGTGCTCGCCGCTGAGACGGACCTCGAATATCTTGGTGCTCACAAAGTAAGTAGCCACTGTGTGCAACTTAAAACATCACAACATAAAAAGGATAGTAGATTTGCGTGTGAGATTTATTTTGTAAGGGGAAATCATCAAATGACTTCTTCTGCCCAAGATCGGGCGGGAGGGAGTGTCAGACTCTTACTGACTAAAAACCCCCTCGTTCCTTCAGCTGCTCTGGGCCGAGGCCGCGGTGACTCATTGCTCTTGCTCCGCAACCCCGGCTGAACATCAGCCCTATCCCCTATAGGGCCCCGTCAGTGGTGGTCTATTGGCTCTTGCAGGCGCACGCGGAACACGGCAACGCGTGTTATGGGGAGGGTCTTAGATCGGTTTTAAAAAACAATTAATTAGACACTGGAATGACTTTTCATTAACTTTTAGGAAAATTACAATAGATAGTAGGTATGTATCCGCGATGACGTTCAAATCTACACTTTTGACTCTAGAAAAGTCGCAATGTGGCGGAAACCGCTGACATTGCAATAGACGACTCCACGTGTGAGGACCAGCGTGGTCATTGTTTCTTTTATCTTTTATAAAGATTCGCGTGTTTTAAGTTATAACAGTACGCTTGGGTCTGGTTCTGGTCAGGCGGCGAGTTACCTTTATTAGGTACTCGCCGCGTGCGTGTGTTATTTTAATTAGATAAGGCTTAAGGGTTTTTTTGCTCACCAGATAGCGTGAGTGTAGCGCGATGTAGAATTCTGCCAATCAAATATCGTCCAACAGTTTACTAGGAAATTTTATAGCGGTCAAACATTAGCATCGGGGTTACGGGTGCAGGAGCAGAAATGCACCGCTGGATGGTTTTGAGAGAGAGTCTGATACTCCCTCTCTCCGCACTAAGAGCGGATGAAGTCATTAGATGATTTTCACACAGCAAAAAAAGTCATATCAGCACAATAACTCACTCTCACTTGCTAGCTACAATAAAATGAATAGCATAAATACTACTTCATATGATGTTTAACGAAAAATTATTTTGATTTCAGGAACTGGTTTCATCTGCAATTATGCTGAAGGAATAAGTGAAACATGTACCTTATATACAGAGTTATTTTCTAACGGAATTTCGATCTTATTACAAGTACATACAAACCTCTATTCTTTGACAGTATTTTGTAACACATTTCCAATTAAAATAAGTACACATTATTGTAATAAGTACTGTAAATCGATAAGTAAAAATAAAGCCAAGTTAATTGTTATACAAGTAGGATAATTAATATTGATTAAGTACAGACTTAGTCGCTATTTTTATAAATAACTAAGCGACCCGGTTTTCGCACGGATGCAATACTGATACTAAATTCTTTCACTATTTCAAAGATATTATTATACATATAAATAAACCTTCCTCTTCACTTCATCTATTAAGCGTACATAGGGACAGAGAAAGCGTTGTCTTGTATTATATAGAGAAAAGCAGCGGCCCGCCCCTTGCAGAATTGTCCAAATACGTAGCGAGACTCGAGTTAGTTAGCAAATCGCCCCGGAACCAATACGTCTGCTATGTCCCGACTTATTCCTCAACATTTCTAAAATTATCTCTCTTCAAAAGCTTCTGACAATAACAAACGACAGCAAATTAAGTAAAAATCAAATCAAAAACTGTTCTAGAGATTTCCAATTTTTATAATAGAGGTTGTATGCTGTCCAAGAAAGCCGTGGGTACGTAATTTTCTTTATATCTACTTATATCTTTGGTACCTTTGGTTCACATAATAGCCATCCAATGGTTATCGTTGTTTCTGTGCTGAATCAATTTTTGTTTCCTTACCTGAATAACTAACTTGGCAGCTATAAATATACATGTTTTATATAATATTTTACTTTGTATAATATTTTGACGAACGAAAGTGTGGGAACGAGGCTGTATAAATAAAATTTGAAATAAAAATCATTTTCCTTAGCAGTATCCATTTATTCGTAGCCTAGTTAAAACACATCATATAAAATGATTGAATCACTTATTTACTAATTCTTCACACATAACCGTTTTGACCCTCAGAGTGCTATCATCGCGAACATTGCTGGACAAGTACATAACAAGCAACATTTATAATAAATAAATAATAAAAATTCATATAAATAAACAACAATATTACAGTATATTGAAGTCAAAATCCAGGTTAAAACTTAGAATGTTAATGATAGGGTACAAAAATATATGGCCGTTTTTTGTCAAACATTTTTAATGAGTTTTTTTAATACAAGTGGTAGTGCATAGAAAATATCAGACAGAATTGCGATAAAAAAGAAAAAACATATAAAAAGGGAATAATTTCGACTTGAAAAAAACCACAAAACTTAATTATCGGTTTAAAAAAATCCAGTCCAATATTTTTAATAATAATTTCTATCATGATACATAAACACACACCAATGTTTTTCATTCTATAAAAATAAGCCATAAATGTATGCACATTTCATTTTTGCTAATGATACCAAAACGTTGAAGGAAGATCGACCTTCACCGAATCAATATAAGAGTCAGTCAAGATAAAGCTTCAGTTTAAAATTAGTTATAAAAAATGATAATCTCTTTAATGGCGTTATATGAGACATAATTGAAAAAAAAAATACTATTTTTGTGTTATAACGCTAGACACATTAAAACGAGATTTGGCCCTCTTGGACGCGGAATCGTATTAAGTAATGCTGCTCATGCATATCTTTTTACTTGTGAGAACCTTCAAAACACGCCTTTATTTTAAAGGAAAAGGACTAGAGTTTCTCGTCAAATGTTATGCGAGTAAGCATAATAATTAATTATTAGGTCCCGCTTGTTTAAATGTTCTGCCAAATAATGTGTTAATACAAAAATTAGTCCATACATAAATAATTATGTTAATTCCTCATGCAATCAGGATATTTTATAACTTTGAAAAAGGTCTTATTAGCGTTTGATTTTAATAGAGATATCATATTTATAAGGCCATGACATACAGGTTAATAAAAAAACTCTCTCAATAATTATAAAACAGCTTTAAAATGCACATGAAATTGATCAATTAGAAAAAATATAGAGTTAAAAAGTTTCAGACAGACGACGATAAAAAAATTGCGAAAATAGATTAAAAAATCATTACAAATACATTTTAAAAATTCAACGGTTTGCCCAGCAATGCCATCTATTGAGATCTTATTAAAGTTATTAGCACAAAACTGTTTATCGTTGATATTTTTATTTTAACCTAATCTAAGCCATTTACGTATTTAAAAACTTGTGCATCGCTTTGAAAGACGTTGAAAAATTATCCTTAGTTCCTAATTATATACTATTTAAATCTAGATTCTCTTAGAAATGCATTCTTACGGTGTGATTCTCAAAGAATGTATGAAATCTAGCTATTTTTTTTTCATCCTTAAACCAATTTGTTATTAGTAAATTATTTATTTATTTTGACCGCTGTGCTGTGAACATTTTGGAGACGTTTTAATACAAATATTTGCAAGCCTGTGTCACAGTTTTAATCATATTTACGTATGATATTTAGTTAAAAAACACCATCCGATAAACTAAATAGTTCATAACCATTAATGATTAGTTTTCACTTTTAGTACACACATGGCGGTCAAAAACTGAACACAATTTGTTTAAAATTTTAAAACAATTAAAATAAAACTATAATTCCCAATAATTTCTTTTAAAATCCAAAAATTCAAAACTTTTGTTGTCCATTAAATTTCACATTTGCCGAATACCGTACATATAATTATGTACAAAGAAATCATAACATTTAATAGTTATAGCTATTATTTTGAAAGTGTAAAAGAGACGGGAACACTCTGTTCTGTCTCTCTCACACTGTCGTAAAACGTCATAATGACATGTACGAAACACAATCAACTTCACCGCTCTGAAGTTTGGTGGTAGCTGTCTTTGTTGCTCTTAGGAATTTGTGCTGTTTATGTCTCGCTCACTCTTTGTGCCTGACTTCAGGGCGGTGGTTGGTGTGAGATTTACGTTGTATTTATTGTTACGATATCACTGCGCCGTCAATCGTCTACTTTCACTTGAATTCATTGTTGATCTTCATAAAGCTGTAAATAAAAATATTGATTATAGAAATATTATGGAATGACTTGTAGCATACTTCAGTGGTTTTCGCGTAGCATCTTATTCTTACCCTATATAGACATGGCAAGGATCGAGCAAAAACCGAGATGTTAGCAAGATATAAGGAAGGCACTAAAAAGTTTAACTAACAATACAATTAATCTAGAATACATATATTTTTTACTAATCAGCCGGATAGATCGGTAGCCTTCCTTCTCATGAAATAATAATAAATAGGTCAACCAAACTATTGAAAAAAAACCTTGTTCCACATTAGGATTTTCCCCTGTGGTGTAGGCGCGCTTACAAATATAATTTTATATGCACATCGCACCCAGACAACCGAAAACAACAATTTATGGATTACCCAAAGTACTGGCAGCCGGTTGCCCAGACACCAATAAACTACAACTCAATACATACTTGTTAATTCTTGGTCCAGGGATTCCTAGTATGTTGTCCGGGTATCATGTCTAGTAGATACTGCCTCTGTGCCTCGGCGACGCGTTGCATTTCCGCGGCCATGGCGGCGCCCCCGCCAGAGTTACTGCCTCCCTTACCGGCTGCAACAAAATATAGTATGAGCAGAATTGATGCTCACTATGTCTGCTCGTGAAGCGGTTACACTATGTTTAAATAATATTATAAAACTAAAGAGTTTAACTACTGGTTCCAATTGAACAATTCTTTTTTTGTTTGTTAGTCCATTTATCGAGGTAGGCTATAGGCTATATAACATTACGCTACGATATGTAAGATCAGAGCAGCGGATGTAACCGCACGACATTAGCTAGTGTTTAAATGTTTGTGACCAGCCCCGGCTATCACGGATGGAATACTAATGCTAAATTCCTCCACTATTAAAGTCTTCCACTACCGACAATAACTGTTATAGGGTTAAAGGTAACCATTGACCGACATGGCGTTCTAAAAGTATCTTAGATTTATTTAATTTTCATGAGAATTTAAGAGTGTTTTGTAGTCGTTGTGTTTAAAAAAATAAAATCCGTCTTAGCAAAAATACGTAAACATTAACAATACTTCAAATTAAACCTTTGTAAAATATATATAAAACATGTGTAAGTGCAATAGTAAAGAATGCTGAAAAAATAAGTTGCAACAATTAATTACAACAATAAGCGACATTGATTTGGAGAATCTAAACTTAATAAATAGACTTAAACTTAAAGAATAGTTCATTAATCGAGGAGGGCTATAAATTATCACGCTTCGACCTATAGGAGCCAAGCATTCCTAGTAAAATAAATAAAGAAAAAGCAAGCTGAGGTGACTTTAATAATGTAATACTCTCTTCATATAAATTACATTACGAAATAGAAATTAAAGCTATTGGTATAAACCGGACATAATTCTAAACTCCATGTTAATACTGACAAATTCACGAAAATTAAAAATAATTCTAATTCCACACATTTTACTTGGTAGTCGCATTTCTGACTATTCTAACCACAATGTGGAATTTGTTACTATTTAAAACCTTAAACAAGCAACACCCCATTTACAGAGGAAGCACAAGCAAAACTAATAACTAAAAAGTAAATAATAATAAAAAGAAAATGTGTGTGTGAATACGTACAACGCTTACCTAGCGCGGAGGCCTGCGCCATGGCCAGCTGGTACGTATAGAGCAGCGGGGAGAACTGCATCATGGCCGCCGCCGCCGCCGCCGGGGACATGCCCGACGTACCGCCCGCGCCCGACAGACCTGACAAACACACGCCTTGCTTACCGCGACACATACACTGTCTCTACATTACTGGTCAAAAGGCACGAATGGGAATACCACGCTCTCACACATAACCGCCGTGAAACAACCACAACGTTGTGTTTCGCCGTGTGAGTGCGGCCCAATTCCTCCACTCCCCCAATCCCAAACGACCCAAAAGGTCGACAACGCACTCGTAACTCCTCTGTTGTTGCGGGTATCCATGGGCGGCGCTGATTGCTTACCATCAGGTAATCCATCTGCTCGTTTACGGACCTACTTAAATAAATTAAAAACGAACATACATATTACATTATAATAAGTGATGAAAGCCTCTCGCAACTCTGTCACACTCCACCCAGGAACACAGAATGTCATTTCATGATTATCGGTGTGCTGCCTACGTTTAGAAGCCAAATCGGATTCCAAAATGGAATGATAATTCAATAAATAAGGAATATTCAGGGGCAAAGAGCATAATGATTCAAAACACTCAGAAATCCCATGTTATTACACGATTAAAAACTTATTACCTGAAGGGCTGATTTTCAATAGTCAGATAAATGTTATCTGAAGGATAAAATTGTTGCTGTCACTGTCTTTAGAAATATTGTGACGCGACAGTATCATAATTGTTACCCAGATAACTTTTATCTAACGATTGAAAAATCAGCCCTAAAACATGACTAAATATAACATTTTATTCCTTTCTCTCCTATGTAGGTCACTGCTACGTTCCGTTTTCCACATGTGTACCGTAGTAAAATGTATAAAATCGTTACCCCTGAGCAGTTGATGCTGCAGCGCCTGCATGGCGGCGGCGCTATGTTGCTCGAAGGCCATCTGCGCCGCCGCTACGGCCGCCAGCTGGAACACAAACGTCAGCAAACAAAATGGAGCCACGCAAAGACTGGCCGTAGGTACACTCAATGGTCAAAAGTACAATTACACAACAAATACGCAAATGTATAATATTTTTTAACAGACTTCAAAAAAAAGAGGAGGTTCTCAATTCGACCGAATAAATGCTTTTTTGTAATACAAGTTCAATAAAAAAAAATCAGTTGTCAATTGCTGAAAACTCTGCATCTTTTTTCTCTTTACTTAAACGTTGCCCCATATAAACATACAAATTCCAGACCCGAAACAACAATTTGCGGATAACACGAAAGTGTTGTTCAGTGCGGTAGTTAAACCCGCGACACTTTGTACGGCAGACCCAGCCACTGCGCCAACCGTGCAAGCAAAGCAGATTGACTATGTCGATATTGATCTATTGAGTTTGAGTAATATGTTAAGGATTTCAAAACCCGACTTTTCACTAAAATTACCTGGTGCTGTTTACTGCTACTGCTATTCTGACTGGTGCTGCTCGATGATGAGCCTAGAAACGGAAAACATTGTTTATTATTTCAGTTCGAATCTGAAATTCAGGTTTTTTATGTCATAAGATCGGCAAACGAGCAGACGGATTACCTAATGGCGAGCAATCAGCACTGCTCTCGAAAACTCGTAGTAATAAAAAAGTTACTACAAGTGCGTTGCCGGCCCTCTTGTGAGTTATAAGGGACAGGGGATTTGAGGATGATGAGGATGGGAGGGAAGAATTCAGCCTCCGGTATTCTCACTAATACGGCGAAACAACGTCAGGGTTGTTATAAGGTTCTGTAAGGCCGTGTTATCTCTCCGGTCAAGCCGAAGCATGGCTCTCCCACACTTAATCAGCTATTGAGAATTCGCTACATGATTTAGTCATTTTTTTTTGCATGCCGAATGGTGAAATATAGCAGAACCCTATGTAAATTTAATACTACCCACTTTGTAATACCCATATTTGCAAATAAATGATATTCTGATTGTGATTAAAAAATTAACTACCTATATAGATTTGTCAATGCAATTGCGAATATTTGTCGTTCATTAATTTTAACATATACTTAAGATTCGTATTTTCCAAGATTAATTTAAAAAAATTAATATGAAGGGAATAATAATGACACAAATAAACAAAGCATCACACAATACAGAATAAATACTATAAATTTTTACAACTTCAAAAGGGTATTGAATATAAACTAGTTGTAAATAAAGTACAGTGGAATTTGACCTTTTTGTACGGGACTTGGGGACCACAAGCTACCTTAGCAGCTAAGTTTGCAGCAATTTCATTTACTGAGTCTTATTATAGTCTATGAGTTAACTTAAGGAAAACAATCTTGGTAAATATGTCTATTTATATCTGAAATGCCAAGATTGTTTATCTAGACCAAAAGATTGAAGTAGGCACATTCAGCAGTGGAAATCCATCAAGGGAATGTCTGTTATATACAATTGTACATCAAGTTTTAAAGGCATACCTTTTCCTTTCTTGGCTGGCACCTCACTGGGTTCTCTGGAGCGGTCAGAGTGGTGGCTGCGAAGCGAATCCGAGGATGACATCGTTCTGAAATAAATCACATATTATATTCATTAATTACCATAAACTTTTATTAATAACAAGCTTCCGTACGCGGCTTCTCCCGCGAGGTACGTTGATAAAAAGTAGCCTATGTCCTATTCCGGAGTGTAACCTATGAAAAATAAACTAAAACATCAATTTTCTCTCCCATACAAACTGATGTACAAATAAGATTAGCTATATGACAAGGGGCAAAGCTGATATTATTAATATTTTTGAGGCAGTACGGAAATCCCCAGGGCCACTAGACGCATAAATAAATAAGTCATTCATCAATAAATAATAATTAGAGCGTACCTAGGCGCGGGCGGTGGGGCGGGAGTCTTGCTGGGCGCCGGAGATGACGTGGATCCACCGCGAGACGTACTGCGGGATACTGACATCTGGAAATACATACATAATATACCATGATAGATAATAATGTTATTGATTCATATGTGTTAAGAAACTGCAGTACATTTTTACGAAATGTTGAAATGTTGAACCAATATTGACTCCCGACAATAAAGGACTGTATTTAAGAAAGAGTTAAATCAATGTATTCAAATACTATTTTATTTGTAAGTTAGGGTGAATTTCGAAATTAAAAATGTTAGTAGTTATGATTAAAATATCGACAAATTTATTGTAACAATATTAAAATGCCCAGATTAATAAGTATAAAATCTTACACATTTTATAACACGATTATATTATAACCAAACTTTACAATATGAGTGAAAAAATGAAAAATGGGGATAAAAAGTTGTTTTTGAAAAACTTTAATTTTTTACTCGGACGAACCGAAGCATATTAAGTTTATGAAGATTGTGTAGTATGTACCTGCAGCGGGCGATGCGCGTGCGCATGCGCGGGCGGGGGCGCGGGCGCGGCGTGGGCGTGGGCGGGCGCGGCGTGGTGGGAGGGCGGGGGCGCGGGCGGCGGGGAGGCGGCGGGCGCGGCCAGGCGCCGCTCGATCTCCTGCTCCTGCTGCAGCGCGCGGACGAACGCTGTCTTCAGCCGCGCCGTGTGCTCCGCCTGTACACCGACATTATCAAACTTTACTTTACACTAGTGATGTTCCGAATATCCGTATCCGTATCCGTATCCGCGGATATCCGAGGAAAAATAAAAATCCGTATCCGTATCCGTATCCGTTACTTTACACGCGGATCTTTTAAGGATCTTTTTCAGTTAATCATCAGGTAGAAATAAAAAAAATCCAGCTAGTTTTTTTAAATAATCATTTATTTTGCACCTATATATTGCAAACATTTAGATACATAGATTTTTATAATAAGAACAAGTTAAAACTTTACTTTTAGGACAGTGAAATAACTAAAACATAATTATTGTTTTCTATAATTAAATGAGGTCAATATCAAATCAAGTTATAATATCCTTTTATAACAATCATGGTCAAAACAAAACTTAAACTGAAAACTTCTTTCATATATAATTAGGTTCAGGAATATAATAGCAAGTTATAACATACCAAAATGATATTTTTTATGTCAATAAAAAAACTAAAACTTAAACCTTCTGTTTATAATTATGAGATCAATACGATAGAAAGTAATAAATCACTTTTATAAGAATGAGATCACGAGGAAACCAAAAATAAATGAAATTAAATGTTAATTCTAATAAAATAAATTAATGCTATGTGTCACATAAAGTTTAACAATTAGCTTACATGAGCAAGTAATCACAGACAAAATTAGAGCAGCTTTAAAAAAATATTAATCATAATTAAAATTAAGTAAGGGTAAATTGTATTTCAAAAATAGCAACTTCGCAGCTTTTTCCCCCGAAAGTCTGTTACGATGAGGATCATAAACAATTCCTGCTGCACTGAAAAATTGTTCACTTGGAACGGGTTTGGGTACATATTTATCTACACCTGAGATAAATATGTACCCAAACCCGCGCAATGCAAGTCAAAACATGTCGTGTCTGACGTTGCGGCGAGCGAGACTCTATCTTTTTAAGGCCGCGCGCGGCCGGCGACACTAATCTTATGAGAAATTGAAGATCCGTATCCGTATCCGTATCCGCGGATCTTGACACTAAATATCCGTATTCAGATCCGTATCCGCGGATCTTCATTTTTAGCGATCCGGCACATCACTACTTTACACTATTAATTTTAACCCGAAACGCATATCTACGCGAGACACAATGTGTTTTGTATTGCGTCTCATAATATACCGGCAAACGAGAGGTTAATGAGTTACTCGTATTTGACGCTTCGGCTTTTAAATGACAATAGACGAAAAAAATATTAGATTTCGCACAAAGTATTTATGAACAAATTAGCCATCATATTCGCTACATACGAGTCCAGCCGACTAATACTATCTTTATTTTTAAACTCAAACTGTTGACTCTCGTTTTTAATCTATAAAAGATATACAAGAAGAATTTGCAGCGAGAACTAAACTCAATTTCGGAGAATAATTAAAAAAAGAAATGTTTTCCTAATTAGATTATTCATTGGCGTAAGTGTATCGTTTTTGAAGTGGCATACTTTGACAATAATAATAATTTGGATAAATAAGAAACATTTTGTGTATATTCTTTTCCCGGTACTTTGATATCTGATATCACTTTTTCAGGCAGTAATATTATCTGGTAAATATTAAATAATATAATCCATTTCGCCTGCTTAGCGTAAAATAATGTTACACCTCTTTCATATAATAGAAACTTAATTTAATTTAAAAGGTATTAATGATAATTATTGTTAACTAAAGATGACTCACGTTAATCTGTTCTTAAAATACATAGAGGTTTGATTTTTCAATAATCAGATAAATGTTATCTGAGGCATAAAATTGTTGCTTTCACTGTCTTTTATACAATTAATCTGATGCGACAGCATCATAATTATTTCCTCGATAACTTTATCTAACCATTGAAAATACAGCCATTAAACAAATATGTTCACTGAAATAAAAAAATGGTACTTCATGATTATAGTAATGTATACCTTGAGCGCCCGCTTGACGTTCCCGCTGACGCAGAGCTCGCAGAGCCTGCGCGCGGAGGGCGGCGGGGGCGCGGGCGTGAACGTGGCGTCGTGGCGGCGCGCGCCCCCCGCGCCCCCGCGCTCCCAGCGCCACACCGGCGTGAAGTCGCATCCGCACTGCGCGCAGACCGCAGGCACCGACGACCGCGGCATGCTGGGGGACAGGGACCATTCTTACTCATACATCTTACTACTCGCTTCTGCTTTACACGGTAAGGTAAAGAGTAGTCTTTTCTTGTGAGAGGAAAATCATCAAAAAAAACTTCTCCCGCCCAAGATCGGGCGGGAGGGTAGGCCCGAGGTAATCTACTAAATCTCTGTGCAAAATTTTATTATAACCCATTCAATAGTCAGAGTAATCAACATAACTAGGCAATTGGCTACTATGCAATGTGTCGCAGGTTCGATTCCCATACGAAACACAGGACAAAAATCCAATGTTGAATGTGGGGCAACCTTTTATTAAAAAAAATAACCATACTAACAAGCATTCGCGCTTATAATATTAATGAGATTAATTAACAATATACAAAAAGCATATATACGGTCGAATTGAGAACCATCCTCCTTTTTGGAAGTCGTTTAAAAATACAATACTTTTTGATATGAATCTTACAAATTAAAAATAAACAAATAAATAACTCACCGGTCTTCATTAGTAAGATAGTCAACGACATGTTCCAGCCCAACCAAGTAGACAAAGTCGGTGTTGCTGGGCGAGGGGATGAAGTTCATTTCTGGTGGTGGGGGTTTGGGTGGGGGGATCTAGAAACAAACACAACATTTCTCAGACTACAATCGGTAAGAACTATAGCCACTTCGCACGAAATATACATCTTTCCGTGTAGAAAATAAGGTTGTATTTTGATGGCTTTCTACGTCCCGGTGTGGACTGATTTGAAGATTATTTTCAAAGCCAGTAGTATCACAAATGCGCTGTTTACCTGCAATACTGTGTAGTTGTAATCAGTAAATGCAAGTATTGCAAGTCTGCTTTTCATTGACGTAATCAATATTTTATAAGAGGTTGTACTTTTGAGGTCGAGCTATTAAGAAGATAGCCTATTTTCTCTTCTCTATCACGAAATATTTCAGAAATAGCCGAATAGCAAAGCGTACTTTATTAAAACTACTCACATAGTAGCTAATTAAAAGAATACCATTTCTATTGAACAATCTGCCAGAATTATGGAGTAAAACGAAACTTATATGTAATAATTAGGAATGTGTTCAGTTTTATTTAAAAGTATATGCTACAATATCTATATAATATTTAATTTTGACTGATATCTATAGATACATTGAGCCCACAGTCAAAACTTTGCACCGGTTTTGTAGGTATTACCGGCATATAAGATACCCAACTCTTTGGACTGAAATAATAATAAGTTGTACATGTCCATACAATAATCATAAACAAACGAGAATATTTCCCATACCTGCAGTAAGGTCTTCTCGAGTTGTTTCCGCAGCGCAAGTTTAGCGGCGGCCTGTCGCTGCGCCGGAGTCTGCGTGTCCTCAGAGCTACGGGAACTTGCCTATAACATAAGTATTTTATTCGTATTATATGTTCCTAAATAATATTTTAATAAGGGCGTTAGCAAGAAAGCATTTTGAACTACAAGTCTAAGTAGGATGTCAAGTATTGATTTCAAATGGTAGGTAATAAAGATTAGGCATCGAAAATTCACTACTAGTGAAAAGAAAACTTTGGAAACATTTTTAGGTAATATAGTATTAAATAAAAATAATACCGTAGTAATCCGAACAGACAGATCAATGTACTATATGATCTGTGCAAATGTCATAATGTTGCTGGCCAATTTTTCTTGTCACTTAAACCTGGTCCCAAAATCTTTTATATACACGTAATTAACGCGCGGTTTTATCCGTTGCTCGGGTCCTATTGGACGATGTTTTAAAGCCTATAGCACTAAGGAACATTGGTGCTATCTATCAGTGAAAGAATTTTAGAATTCCGACCAGCGGTTTCAGAGATTACTCCCTACATACATACAAACTAACAAATTTTACCTCTTTCTAATTTTACGGAAAATACAAAGAAACTATGTTAGAATAGTTCTACAGTAGTATATATAGGTATATATGGTGAAATGACATCACATTTCCATACTCACTGCATCACTCGTGCTACTGGTCACTGACGAATTGTCCTGGGGTTGCTTGCAATGGATAATGTATCGTAAGCACTAAAGTATAGATTCTATTTTCGAGCCATAGTGGATTCAAAATATACTATTAGCTACATACATATAATATATTTGATATTGTTCATAAGTTTTTGATCAACTTTATTTGTTTTTACAGGCATATTTTACTATTAGTAATTGGGTAGTTTCCTAGGTCAAAAATAAATTAATTCGACGTTTTAATACAATAAAATATTGACAAATAATTATACTTTTATTCATCGATCGATCGATACACTAAGTTATAGATATAATTTTTTTTAAAATAAGTAAGCTATTTGACGCAAAAATGCTATGACGTCATAATTCAATGTTACATACAATTTTCATAGAAAAGCATCGTTTTTGACATTTAGATAAAAGTATTGAATTTGACTAGTTGGAAACAACCGTATTGGTAAGATCTGTGATAGCATGAACATTAAAAAAACAAAAATATGTTTATGCCTCTTTTTCAAGTTCGGTTACGCATTAGAAAACGTGACAATGATTAGAATTTTGATTATATTTGTCAGCTTATGTTGATAATTAATATTATATTAGACTTCATGGCGTTTCACATATTAAAAGTTATAATTATCGAACAGAATATGGACAACTCGGCCTGAAATAAAATGCCGACATGGGGGTACGAGCGCAATAATGTACCGTGGTTCCCGCCCGGAGGGGGAGAAAGAGCGGATAACTTTTTAAGTCTCCCTTTCTCCCCACAGAGCGGTAGCCAGACATTAGACGACCTACCCTTTTCAAAAAAAGCTTGTAATAAAATACAAATGCAATTACCTTATTAGAAGACGCATGCTGACTGCTGGGCGGAGGGGCCGGCGTGATCGTCACTGACGGCGTTATGCTTGCACCACCACTTGTCGAAGACTGCAAAACAATATTCACAATGTTAGAAGGCAAGCACATCAGAACCAATTCTTGTAGGAAGGAAAAAAAATATATGATTGCTCTCACTTATCAGATTATAACTATTTAATATCAATGTTCAATATTCTTGCAAAACCAGTAGACGTAATTAAAAAAAAACAAGCAATATTGCTTCGGCCGAGCCGCAAAACGAACTCGAGTCTTAGTTTGGAGGTAACTAATGTAGAGAATCATTGATAACTACTTAAAATCTTGGCGTGAAAAATTTAAACAATACACAGCAGCTGCTTATGATTATAAGCCCCTAGTCTAACTTGAAATTAAGCGAGACATCGCGTCAAATAGCCACGTAAGCCAACACAAAACAATAATATAAAATACACTTATTGAAAATAATATACAGGGTGTAAAAAGACACTTAACGAAGCCGAAAGCCACGTATTCTACCTATTATTTGGATCATTTTTTTCTGTAAGACCATAGCTGGGACTCCACGGGTTCTCGAAATATTGAAGGTCAAAAATGCATTTTTATTTTTTTTTTGCGCAATCGATTTCTAAGTATTATTACAAATTTTCTTTTCCAAACAAACATTACCTGAATTTTCGATTTTTCTAAATAAATTACACATTTGAAGTTACGAACAGTAATGTACGTAATAAATAAATGCAGACCCGCACAAAAAACATCGTGCATTCAGTAGGATTTTTATTTTACAGAATTGTTTTGTTGTTGCGAAGTAAAACGTCGACCTACGTACTTATCACAGCGTTTTCATGCTAAGCTGTGAACCTAAGCACACAATGACACGAAGCCCGTTTGCTTTACATTGCGCGCAATAAAATTATTATTTTTTTTGATACCTAAAAATAAAAGTCGTTTCCCAGTGATAATTTTAGCGTAAAACTACTTAGTTAGAACTGCAGTATGCATAGTTAACGGCTTCGTTAAGTGTCTTTTTACACCCTGTATAATATAAATACTTTTTCAAGATAGTAATGTAAATAACACACTTTCACAAAAAGTGGACTTCATACCTGAGAGCGATAAGGTCCGGGCGTAAGAGTGGCTCCGCCGGGCAGGCTCGACGTACGTCGGGACGAGTTACTGCTGCCTCCCGCCGCCGCTGGGGTACTGCTACTTGTACGCTGCGAAGGAAATATTACACTTTGGTCACCACTAAGCCGATTTTGATAAAGCTGAACATATTTGAAACGAGTTCTAAAAGATTGAGAGAGATAATTAAACACCAGAGGCTCCTCTGCTGTTGAGGGTGTCCATGGGCACGAACCAGTTGATGATAGGCGACAAATAGGCCTATCGCTTTGGGGGCCTATAGTTAATCTCAGCCGCACTAACCAACAACACATAACATATCATATGATAAAGTCAGACTGGAGACTTTTACCCCGTTTTACTATATTTGATAAAGTCTACAAGTGTACGAGTACAAATAATGTTTTACCTTAGTCTGTTGGTGAGCTGGTGGAGGCGCGGGCGTGACCGTTACTCCGGGGGGTACCACACACCCACTGCCTGCCAGCGCCGTGCCAGTCGCAGAGTCCTGTAAAAAATGAACTATGTTATGATACCACGGCCTCACAGAAAACCGGCGTGAAACAACCACAGCGTTGTGTTTCGCCGTGTAAGTGAGGTTAAAGGAGTCCCAATCCTTCCCCTCCCCCAATCCCTTCTCAATCCCTAAATCTCCAAATCCGTAATCCCTAAAAGGTTGGCAACGCATTCGTAACTCCTCCATTGCGGGTGTCCATGGGCGGCGCTGATTGCTTACCATCAGGTGATCCGTCTGCTCGTTTGCCGACCAATTACATAAAAAAAAAATACGCGGACGAAGTCGTATAAGCTCGTCAATACATATATTATAAAGCTAAAAAGGCTCGTTCGTATAGTCTTATAGTCTCCATTACCTTAGCAGGCGGCAGGCCGGTAGCTTGCTGCGACTGCCGCAGCTTCCTGAGCAGGACGAGGCGCGTCTCCTCGGCGCGCAGTTTCTCCCGCAGCGTGCGCAGGCGCCGCTCGCGCTCCCATATCTCCGCGCTAGACAGCTCCTGTACGCATAAACATTATATTATTTGAGAAATATTAATTTTACATTATCAGACAAACTCACTTATCTTAAAGTAAAAATGGGTATAACAGACTATTTTACAATTTCGGGATGATATCAGAAGTAGCATATAAATGTAAATATATTCCTAATTTATATTTAAAATGTTTGCAACAACAGTTTATCAGTGATGAGAAAGACCCTTAACATGCTAGTTTGTGTTTGAGGCTATGAAATGCGTGAAATCTAAACGAAGACACTTTCGATTCCCTGAAACTCTATGACATTTTTATGCTTAAGCTTGCACATCTCACTTAGCCACTGCGCCAATCGTGCAGTCAGTATTACAGTAAGTATTTATGGGACTTTACGATTAGTTTATTTATTATGATTAGCGGCTAGGTCACGTAACAATTTGATGAGGAACGCGACTAGTTTTATTTCCCGCTAGGGGTTCATATTCATGAGCTGCATTGCGCGACAAACTGATTACTTAGCTGCGCGACGTTTGCCACAAACATATTGTCAGTTATCACAGTATAGTATAAAACAAAGTTGCTTTCTTTGACCCCATATCCTATGTAGGTATTTACGCTTCAAAACTACATAACGGACAACTACAAGTATCTCGCTATAAAAAGGTCACTTTTTCCTAATCTTTCCCTCTTTTCTAAAATTTTCTTTGATAAAAACCTTCTCCTGACAATAACAAACACAGCAAAAAAAGAATTAGCAAAATTAGTCCAGGCGTTGTCGAGTTATGCGCTTACCAACACATGTTGCGATTTATTTTTATATATAAAGATTCTGCTGTATGTGTGTATGTCATTGAACTCCTCCTAAACGGCTTGACCGATTAAGATGAGCTTTTCTGGATTCTGGATGGTTTAGATTCACAAATCAGACTGGCAGTTCGGATGAAGCCCAACGATTTTGGTGTTTTATATGTGGTGGTTTTCAGAGAGGCCCGCTAGTATAATATATAAAAGCTACTCACTCGGTGTCCAGCGACCGGTAGGGGTGGTTCATTCTCATCTTCTTCCGAGTCCTCATCGTCGCGCGGGTCGCGGGGCGACTCCGGCGCGGGCGCGGGCAGCGTGCTCGGCGTTATAGACACGTTCACACCGCCCGAGTTCAGCTTGCTGCTTACATCTGTTGAGGAAGTTAGATAGTTAATATTTATAATTGGAAAACGTAACGTGTGTTAGTTTTACATTGATATGTTAAGTAGTCGATATACTCATGGTTTTTCTCCAATCCTTAAATCCCTAATAACCCACAAGAGGCCTGAAAGTCACTTGTAGTAACTCCTTTGGTATTACGAGTATCAATGGGCGGCGCTGATTGCTCACTATCAGGTAATCCGTCAACTCGTTTGACGATCTATGATTTAAAAAAATCAGTTTAAAAAAAATTCAACTGATGTTTCACTTGCAAGAGCAATAATAAAAGTAACAATAATGTACCGCGGGTCTGGAATGGGGCAAGAGAAGAAACGGGTTGGGGTTTAGTCTGCAAGAGTTTGACTCCCTCTCGCCCAACCCGGGGCGGAAAAAGTGACTAAATACTGGTTTATGGCTAAATTCCTACCAATTAAGGATTCTATGATATGAGAAGAGAGATTACTACTATTCAATATTTAAACAATTACAAAAGGCATCAGCAATTATCCGCGAAAAAAAATGACATATTATTATTTACATCAAAATCTATGATCAAATTTTATCTCACATCTTAATGAATCATATTATAATTAGGCATACAGTGTTGAGTTTGCTTTGAGATAATGAGTGATAGCGCTTGATTAGGCAGCACACACATTTATGTTATATAATAACGCTAGTTATTAAATATAAGACCAAATTCATAGAAACTGGGTCAACATCTCTTTGTAATTATTTCAAGATTTGTTACTTTTTGTTTTATAAAATATGGTCCTAGAGTAACAATTTCTTCTATGTCATCTTTACAAACATACAAATTCGTTACATCATATCCAAAGCCGAATACCTATCACCGTAGTGATACCACAGTCTCAAAAGTCAAAAGAAATTTATTTCAATAAGATCCTTACAGGCATTTTTCAACGCCAAACTAAATTTAAAGATATAAAGTGTCAGTCTGTCGGTCAATCCTCTTAGTAAAGCTATTTGCTTGTTCCAAAGTATAGATTCCAATGGAGAAGAACGAGCAAGAAACTCCATGGTTACTCTTTTTAAATCAGTTTCACATACATATTCCTTATAAAAACAGTTGGTTCAATTATGTGAGAATGCCGGCGTAAAACAAAGCTTTTTCTTTATGTTGGTTGTTTGAATGAGGTTCCCGGAGGCCGAAACTCAACACTCAACTGGTAACGCATTTGTAGGTAACTTCTCGATGTTGCGGGTGTCCATGGGCCAAGCTTACCATCGGATAAACCTTCTACGCGTTTACCAAAGAATACCATTACATATACAATATTTGGATCACACGAAGATTGTTTCGGTGTGGAAATCAAAAACAGGGCAATTCTGCTCAATAGTAGGTCATTTGCTATGGCGATGGCAACTATTTATATTTTCATAGTTCTTTTTTTAAAGGTAAAGATAAGAAAGATAGTTTTGCAAGTATGGGTAATACCAAAACCTATGGTGTTTAGTAAGATACATAGGAAACTCGACGATATATTTTTGTGTTACAACTGACATGCATATTGCCACATCCTATTTTAAAAATAAAACTATACATACCTGTGAATGGCGCAGGACTAGGCATAGATGGTTTGCGGTGCGGTGGTGCAGCCGGCAGCAAAACAATATCAGGGCTCTCCGCATAGCTACGCTGTTCCGAACGAGGGCGAAGCACCCGCTTGCCGCTCGAGCCCTAAACAAAACACATGTTACTATATCATCAAACTACAAAGAAATAATGAATAAATGCGTGTTCATAAAAATTAGGTGCATTGAATTACTATATTATTATAAAAGATCGAATTAAATTAACTACGAAAACAATTGTAATAAAAAAATGTTCAGCAATTTTAAATGTTTGCTAAAGTTTGAATCAAGATGAAATTAATAATAAAATCATTTGATTAATAATTAAATTACTATTTTAAGGAGACATACATTAAATAAATACGTATGCTTCTTCTTCTTCAAACAAAGAACCAGGTTGAAAAAGACAACGTTTCTAATATTAATGTGCGAAAAAGCGCCAGATCTTTAGACCAACCAGTTGCCATATCTCTTTCATATATCAATTCAAACACAAAAAAGGTTGAATCAATTTAACAGCTAGACTATTATGAATTTATTACACTACTAATGTAGGGGATAGCAGTTTAGTTTGGTCAGTAAAGAAATTAGCAATCACAGCCGAAATAAAGATCTTAATTCAAAATATACTTTTTTAATTGCCATAGAACTTAGCAATGGTAAAATAGATCTTAATACAAAAAGTTTGAATTGAGATTGATTTGTTTGCAGCTGTGAATATTATAAAATTGTAAATAAAACTAGGCATAACTAATATCATATGAAGCAATCTACTCACAATCCTTAGTTGTTGTACCTGAGTAACATCATTATAATTTGAGTTTACCTTTCAACCAGAGACAAAATAGGTCGCTTAGCATATATTTTTTAAAAGTTTAATTACCTAGTATTTTTCTTTGTAAAATTTTAAAATATAGTTTACAGCTTCTATTCACTTTTATAGTACTACTATTTGATATAATTATCAGCTTAGCTTAGCTTTAGAATTTTAAGTATGATATTGGATGCAAAATTAAATCCATAACATATTGTATCAGTCCCTTAGTTTAGTACAACCTTACAAAAACCAGATGGAATTAATAAATTAATGATAACTTTCAATAATGACAATGTTACTAGTATTGTATAATATTATATGTGAGACATTGAATCCCTTCAATTATGTCATAATTTAACTTTTATCTACTGAAGGAAGAAACTTGTAAAGTAAAATAATAATCTCATTGGTATACACAATAATTCAATTATTCATTATGTTGGATAAAAAGAGTTTAAAATTTAAATAATATGTACTCAAAGTTTAGATTTTTAAGTAACCTAAATGAGGTATATTGAAAGATACTCTTAGTAGTTATCCCAATATGTGGTAATTAATTATCTATGGCTATTTTTAATAATCTTTCTATCCATAGATTTGCTAGCTAGGGATAAATTTGTAATTTTTATATACAGCTTATGTATAATTTATTAGTAAGCATAAAAAGGCTATACTGTAAAAATGTGACCTATGCCAATTTCTTTGGGGAAATATAAGGTCTAATAATACTTATGTTATGTACACATGGTAAATTAAAATGAAGATCAAATATTATTTTAACAAAAAATGTTATTTTTTTTATAAACCTATACAATCTCACTGTATTTCAAACAAAGTCTCTATAATTCCTATGTGTAAATGAGTTTTTAATGTATCTTAATTCTGACACAATATAAATTACTTTTCATGATTAATTAGGAGAATTATATCATTAACATCAATAAATTAATATATTAATTTATATGTTTTGTTGTATTTACAAATGGTTTAATGATTTATTCTCTAATGATACAACCTTGATGGCTTATGTGTTGCTCAAGTACTTACCCTGTCAATCTTTTTAGGAAGCAAAAAAGAAACAAAATAAAGTTAATATTTTTAACATTAAAATAAAGTCTTTTCACAAAAATAAACCCTCACAGTTTAAAAGTAAGGTGTTTTCTACTTGTCAAGTTTAATTATGCCAATTTTCTATATTATATTATTCACTTACATTTCCTTAAACTAGATTAGGTATCTATAAATGTTATTAAAATTAATTTTATATTAACCTCTTTCTTATGTAGATAGAACTAAAATTATCTGTGTTTCGACCTCCAGCAATGATTAATGCATGTGGTATTTATAAACAAAGTTACATACAATGAATGTAAGAACAGAGGAAATACTGACCACTGTATTACACATTTTTAAGACTGTAAACAATAAATATGAAATTTGTGATTTTAATGAATTAATATGAAGGTAATTGGTTTTTACTTACATGTGGTGGTGGTTGTGCAGGCGTAATAGTCAGCCCACTAGCCGTCAGAGCCCTCAACTCGCTCAATTCGGGTGGCAATGCCCTGAATTCATAAATAAATTACATAATTCCACAACATCACAAAATGTAAACAAAAATATCAAATTGAATAATAACTTACCTGACGCTCAGGTCGACCGCCGAATCGTCTACGTCCATAATGGTTACCTAGTCACTTCTGAAACAATTACGTATTACAATTAAACACAAATAATTTGGGACATCAATCAATATAAACAATACAAATTTTAATTATCACCGCGTTCATACGTTGTTATAAATAGAGATTGTATTAAACACCACTTTTAGCTATAGATTATGTCGACATTACAAACAAATTGGTAATCATTTAGATCGATTTTTTGTCCAGCAAATGTAATGCACACGCACGCATCACCGGGATCACTATTGACAAGACAACGATCAATGCGCGCGAGTATTAAAATCCACTCTTAATTTCACTAAAATATACCTAATTTCTATCACCAGGATCTAGTCACATATCTTCTCGGTTAACAAAATGTAAACGAATGTTTTTATGAGAATTAAACGAATTTTAATTTGCAATCTAGCAGTCACAACAGCATTCCTCTCGCGGCCATTGACGACAGATTAAACAGAACAATAGTTGTTATCATAGATTATCTAACTATTGTAACTTGTATTGTCTTTGCATATCGCTAATTCAATTAAATGACTCAGAAACTCTGAATAGTCGATTAGGATGATTAGGCTTACTTTACTCATTTTGGCCTATTTCTTACTCACAATCCTAATGAGAAAGTAAAAAATAAATAAATAAAAGGGTTTTTACTTTTCAGGAGGGGTAAAATTCTAAAAGCTGATTGAAAACATTCATAATTTAAAAGTATTTTCTGTGTTGATAAGTCATTTTGCTAGTCTATGATGTACTTACTGACAGTGATAGTGTCAGTGTCACTGTCAAATAATTCTTATTTCGTGCATGTTGCGCCGTGTTTACAACACAAAGTTTGAGGCTAAATACACGTGAATTATATTATTTAAAATGAGTTCAGATTTTAATGTTAAAAGGCCAGGCTTGGAACTATTATCAAGTCAAGGATTACGGCTTGACGGCCGCAGACCCAATGAACTTCGTCGTATTCAGTGCAAACTTGGTGTTTTTACACAGCCTGACGGAAGTGCATATATTGAGCAAGGAAATACTAAAGTTTTAGCTGCAGTTTATGGGCCTCATCAGGTTTGTAAAATATCGGTAGAACTAGACGTCACGAAGCAATGTCAAATCGCAAGTAAAGTTAAAAATAAATACATTTTTTTATTATTTACTTAATGAAAATTTCAGGTACATAGTATAATTGTTAGAACAAACAAATAAAGGAATCGCATTCAATTATCAGTCAATATTTGAAATATATTCGCCCCTAAGACTACCCACTGATCATATCTTTATTACTGCTGTTATTGTTACAGGCTTCAAAATCAAAATCTTTACAAGACTCTGTCGTCATAAACTGTCAGTACAGCATGGCTACATTCTCCACAGGTATATCTTAAAATACTATCTAAGCACACACTCTCTGGCCTAGAAGATCTTTAAATACAAATATCACAAATTCACGCAATTAAGATTTGAAATAACAATGGTTTGTGAAAAGCTAAGTATTTGTACTGATGTACAAATACTTTAAAAAATTAATTAAAGTGTGAAATGTTGCTTGTGTTAAGGAAAAGTTGCTGGGATAAAGACTCTTAGGTTAAGAATGCATTGAAATCAAGTGAGGCAGGAGTTAGTAAAATTTAAAAGGATCTAAGTTATATCAATGTTGCAAAGTGCATATCAAGCCAAGTTCAAGTAACAGAATAAAAGATTAACAACAAAATACTTAACTGACCTTCATGGTGTTAGAACATTTAAAAAAAACAAGATATTTAACCACTGAACTCTCAACTCACATAAAACACAACAGAGGTTGCCTTACTTACACTAAACAATGAACAAATTAATTCAAAAAAATAGAAAACACACTATGACACTCCCTTTGACTCATTATCTATTGTCCCAATATTTGTAATATCAATGAAAGTTGAATCTCATTGAATTTCAATGATTACATCATTGTGATAAGAGGTTACTCATTATTATTGTAGTTATTTGGAATTTTTCAAAGCCACACTGTATGGTGCATTCAATCTGCATCAATAACATTAATGTTACCTATATGAATAAGTCCTAGATCCAGAATAGAAAAAAGTATAGGAGCACCCACTTTTAAGTATAGTCACATTCCAGGCTGTGCTATTACTAAAATTTTCTTAAAAATCAACAAAATTCTGTAATACTTTAGGCGAAAATCTAAACCTCTTGCTTGGCAGTCGCGTGAGTAATGCTACTATGTTGAAACAATGCTGTCGACCTAGTGTCATTTAACCAGGGTAGGGTCAAGCGCAATAAGGTACCGCAACTTCGGCCGGAGCAGGAATAGGAATGGGGGTTTTTAGTCAGTCTGAGTAAGAGTTTGGCACTCCCACTTGCCATACTCTAGGCATGAAAAGTAGTTTGATGAATTTCCCTCCTCAAAAAAACCTAGTATTATTAAGATGGACATCTTAACAATACTAGGTTTTTTTTAAGACGCGTTTATACTTCATATCTCCGCCGACTTTGTTGATGTTTATGAGTTTATTATTTGCAATATGTTGAATATTTTTTAGGCGAAAGAAAAAAACGAAGTGGAGGTCGCAAGTCGGAGGCGATATCTATGCAACTAACTCAGGCGATCACAACTGCAATCAAGAAGGAGCTGTACCCTCGCTCGCAGATCGACGTGTACCTTGAAGTTTTGCAGGTAGGCTAGTTTATCAAGAAAGGTTTTCTTTGTGGGGTAGAGGAAAACATGGGAAGCAACCAACGCCGCTCGTAAACAGTCGCATCATTAGTTAAACAGAAGTACTGCCCTTCTTCAAACGCCTAGCGATGTACAAATTAGCTGGTACCTGCAGATATATGAGTAGTCCAAACCATGGGTAAAAGAAACAAAAAGGCAAAAACATGATCTTCCGGCGGCGGTATTCCCGAACCGATACGACCTTCAAACCTTCAAGAAACGAGCGTACTCCTTCTTAAAAGGCCGGCAACGCAAAGGGCGGCGCCGATCGCTTACCATCAAATGAGCCGTCTGCTCGTTTGCCTCCTATTCCATAACAAACATTTCTTTAGACGTTTTAGTATCATTATTTTTTAAACCTAGTAGTCTGCGAACCTCTCCTACAGACACATAAGTTAAGAGACTACAGAAAAAATATTATATTGATTTCAAACACTTTTAAATTTACGGCCAAATAAATAAAAAAGCTGTTCACTTATTTCAGGCAGACGGCGGTGCGTACTCAGCGAGTGTAAACGCAGCAACCCTCGCGTTGATTGACGCTGGTATTCCAATGAAAGCTTACCTCTGTAGCTGTACTGCTTCCATTGCGTGGAAGGACGGCAAACCGGAGCCTTTGGTAGACGTCAGTCATGTCGAAGAGTCTGCTGGAGGTTCCGTGTTGACAGTGTCTAGTTTGCCCAGTATAAGTAAGTGAGAATTAATTACGTTTATTTTCAAATACGTAGGTTTTTTTTTGAACAAAAATATAAGGTCTAATATGCACATGTCTGCGAAAACCCAATAAGTGCTCTTTTTTGTATGGGGGAAAATCATCAAACGACTTTTTTAGCTCTGGTTAGGTAGAGGACTGAGGAGTGTCAGACTCTACTTAAAACCACCACGTGCCTCTACTGACCCAGGCCAGGTGTTTGAGCTTGCGACCGCGGTATATTTTTGATATCAGCATGAATATCAGCCTTATTGTGCCTTATCCATGGTGGTATGTTGGTTCACTTTGATGTTCAGTAATGGCAGTGACAAAGTTGACAGTGGATAAGCCATTTTAAATTTCTTACTACACAATTACTTTTTTTTACCCTTTTAGAAACCAAAGTTGTAGAAAAATATGACCAAAGTGTAGGCAATTATTAATCTACAGTAACAGATAACATTATCTTTTATAACTTTTTGTTACAGACAGTGTAGCATGGGTAGACATGTCACAGAGACTCCATGCAGATTATCTAAGCGTAGTCATGAAGCGGGCCATGCAGGGTTGTAGGGATATTGAGGTAAATTAACTTTAACCTTTTTGTTTGTCTATTTATTATCCTTCCAATAGTTGGTATTCGTTTGAGGCACAAGCACGAGACAATATTTTGTCTTGAATTAAGATTAATTTTGTCGTGAAAAGCCTTATGCTTCGACACGGATCACCACGGAGTGTTACTTTTTCATTCTTTTATGTAAGCCACGCCCCCCAAAAGGCAACCCTTCTGGAGAAAACTTTGTAATTGTAATTATTTATTTCAGGTAATTTTGGACAAGGCAGTGAGAGAACACTTAGGCGAAAGTTGGACCATGTCAGATGATGCAGTTGCTATATAAAATAAATATTATATTTATACATTCAGGTTATTAACTCTGTTGCCCACACAACTGTTCCCTGTTTGAAAAAAGGTTAGGCAATCATTTCTTATTGGTGACCATACCGAGAAAAGAGAATTTCATAAAGAAAACAGCAAACAATTAGACTTACATATTTATTAGAGATCTGAACAAAATAAGAAATTAAATTATATGTACAGTCTATGTTAAAACTAACTAAATTAGAGGTAAGTTAATTGGTACACACTTTTTCCATTACTTTGCTTATTGTATGGTGAACAAAAAAAACTTATCGAAACATTCTATGGCAAATGAAAAAGTGACGTAACTCAGCAAAAGAAATGTTACAGCAATATCCAGCATAACTAATAAAAAAAGAAAAACAAAAAAATAATAAAACCTTGTTTTAAATATCGGATGTAAATATCAGTCCATCCGTTCCTGTGATTGCACACACGAAATAAATAAAATGCATCTTTGAATAAATAAATAAAAAGTACTATATTGTACTCAAGTTGTCCTCATTGTACAAAATTACACATTATTGCACATTATGGCAAGGACCTAATCAAAATAAATACTGCTTCGTCCGAAGCCTTTGTTAAAACGGCTAATATTTATTATTATTTAAAAATGTATAAAAGTTTTTTTTCGTCTTTACCGCGTAACATAATTGCAATATTTTAAAATAACTTGACCGTATAAAATATGCGTATATGAACATTGCGAACAACAATGTAAATGTAAGGCCAAAATATAATGGGATATATTTTATCTTATTACACTGAGTTGCTAAGGCACTCATCTACATTATCAACTATATATAGAAAAAATCTTTATGCGTAAGCAAAAGAGAAAAAAAAAAGTGGGCGTTGAAAAAAAATCTCGTCCATCGCGTTACATGCAAAACAATATATCTCTCAATTCCAAAGGAGACTTATAACCTAGTTGTATAATACGAATAAATGTTTTGTCACATCTCTATGGCTCCGATGTAGAGCTCCCGGGTTAGCGACGGGTGTCCTCACACAGCCGACACAGTACATGACCAGTTTGGATATAATATATGGATCACGAGTGCACTGCGGCGACTCTATAAGGACACTAATATGACAATACAGAACATTATGCCATTTCTTTTCTAGTATGTAAATAATTTGACGAAAAAATTGCACAGAAATTACTAAATTGCATATTCCATAGGCCGCTTTTCCACCGCAATTTTGTAGATAATTTTATTTCATTTCATAAGAATTAATGCGTCATATTTCATCATTCATTTCATATGTAATAATGTATGACAGTGGAATAGCTACCTTACGCAGCAGCAAAAGCTTGCAGCATGATCAAAATTTCTTTTATATTGCAAACATCCATACAAATATCACGGATTAGAGTATGAGCATTAAAATGCTACGAGAAATAGTCTTACAGACGGTGTTATACATTTCATATTGGTTTCCGCGATTATAAAGAGGCCACGTAACAAAGCTGACATCAGACTATTGAACTATATGACAACACTTGATATCAAGGACATAGATTGCATTCTTCAATACAACATTTAAGATTACTGATAAGTACACCGATTATGACAATCTACAAGCACGTAAGTTATAATATCGATCTATATCTACGGTGTATGCAGCTTTGAAACAAGGCCTGTTAGTGTAAAATATTGAAAAGAACGTTTAGTTCTTTGTCGTCGCTAATCCGAGAGCGGCTTACGACACTTAACGACAGCTATGGTAGAAAAGTCTAAGCTTTAATTGTGAAGATGTACGCCTTAGTTGGCCGCCACCGGTTCAGGCGCCGGCACTTTTTGACTAGAATCTCCCGCCGCCACATCTGTAAACAATAGACACGAATGTAAGAGAACTGAAGTCATGATGGAATTTTAGGGATTTGTAACATTGGATAGGTTTATGTTCAGTAGGGGGCAGAGATATGTTGAAATAATAAAACGATCAGTATATCTTTCTGCATATTTGAGGGTCAGTTTATACTGTTTTAACTTAATGTCTAGTGGAGTCAAGTATCAAAGAAATTAACATTAGAAATGTACATAGGATAGTAATAATACGCACCATTGTTAGTCTTGTTAGGTGAATTGTGTGGCGAGCTGTTCTGCGACTCACTGGTGCTGCCCTCTGCCTCACCAGTCTCGCCGGCTGACGATGTGGCCTGAAATAATCATACAAAATAGGGATGAGACTTCTGCAGAATAAAAACTATTTATGAATAATTTTTACTGAGTAATAAGTAATCTCATCATATCTATACCTATATGGATAAATAATATGTACTAGTTACTCTCGCGCGGTTTTACCCGCTCTGTTCGGCTCTTACTGATCATAGCGTATTGTTTTAGAGCCTAGTCTTCCTTGATGAATAGACTAACAAACACAAAAAGAATATTGTTCAATTTGGACCAGTAGTTCCGTAGATAAGAGTGTTTAAACAAATAAATGCACAGCTTCATAATATTAGTATAGATAATATAAATACCTAAAATAATTCTAATATTTAAAAAAGATGTAACTGATAAAGTAATAATTGTAACAGTCCATTTGCTCGACACTGAGTTCACCCCATCCACCAACTAAGTGACAACCTAAAAAAAACTTCCTTCCTAATTTATGGAACTTACCCTATTTTTATTCCTTGGAATCCTTGGTTTAGGTCCCTTCGGCTCCTTAGCGGGGTCGAAGTGGCAGTCAAATATCTCAATCAGTTCTTTTATATCTTCCTCCTTTGCAGACAGAGATAGGGATGACATCTGCTTCTCCAATCCTGAAGCAATTACAAAAAAATCCATTGAAGAATTGATCAAATGTAATAAAGGATTCACTATTGAAAGTGAGTGTGAGTGTTTATCACCAGTATTTAAGATTGATTGTCTTTATGCGTAAATAAGGAACGTTTTTTTATACAATTGAATCTTTAAGTGCCAGATTTTTTTTGGAGGTAAGGTAAAATCTTTAGAATACTTCTTGCCCTGGGTGGAGCGTAAGGGAGTGTTAGTCTCTTACTGACGAACAACTACACCATTAGTCCTCCAGGCCTCGATACACAAGTATGAATATGATTTACGATAACGTAGTCGACGTGGTATGACGTCTGGCACTCTGATTGGCTTGCTCCAAGTTAACCAACCAATCAGAGACACAGTATAATTGCAACGCCTTTGCACTAAGCTTTCAGGTTGCATGATAGTAATAACTTTACTAACTATAGGATTTAAAAACTTACCATCAAGCTTCTGTTCTTGCCAGGCCTCTTTAAGCTGGTCGTAGAGCAGGCCAGCGTCGGCCAGTATGCGGCGCAGCTGTGTCACTCGTTTGCGTTCCGGTCGAGCTGACCGGAGGAGTGGAGCGAATACTGGCCGGAACGTGTTCTGTCTGATAGGATAAACGTACCATTATTAGCTTTCAAGTTCCCAACTAGTTTTAAACTTGCACTGTTGTGTGTACACAAATCTATATAAGAAAATGGCAGCGCGTCTTTTCTAATACTAACGCTCATTTATATCTGGATTGGCTCTTTTAAATTTTAGGTTCATTTAGAGATGATGTATTTAGAGCTTCTGAAGAGTGCTGATTGTGATACCAGTCTCTCAAGTCTACTCGCTCAAAACATAGGCGAAGTTCCAAAATTCATACAAATCGAGTATAGGAGAGCCATACTTCGGCGCGAATGGTTCGGATCGACCGGAGTGACCCCACGGCCTCGCAGAAAACCGACGTGATACTACCAGTGTTGTGTTTCGCAGAGTGAGTGATGTTACCGTATATCAAAACCTCCCCCCTCCCCCCTTTCCTCATATCCCTAAATCCTAATTCCAAAAGGTCGCCAACGAACTCGTAACTCCTCCGTTGTTGCGGGTGTCCATGGGCGGCACTGATTGCTTACCATCGGGTAATCCGTATGCCGTACTATCACGTAAAAACGATCTGATGGTACAGTAGTTCGTTATTTCTAGGTAGAGAGATTGTAACTTACCTCTCGAGCAACTTCTTAAGGCTGGCGAGTGCATCAAGCTCGGTGTGTACGGGACGTGCCCAAGCACGCGCGGTTTCTACCATGTCCTTACTGGCTGAGACACCTTCGCCTCCTGCACCTACTTCTTGTTGTTCACCTGGTGACAAAGAATGTTAGTGTTATTTTAACAGATTCCGCTTTACAGTGGGCAGTTTAAAAAAAAACATGGATGACTAGCTAATTATGCATGATATTAATAGCGCACATGTGTGTGAGAAGAAACCAGGGAAGCTTTTGCCCCATTCAATTGGATGGTGAACCTGTACGATCAAGAAATTTACCCCTGCGTCGTGGGTAAGTTTATAAACACACAATTGCACATACACATCACACCCAGATCCGGAACAACAATTTGTGGAACAACAACGTTGCGCGGCAAACTGTAGGATCCTTTTATTTCTAAACAATTTCAGAAAAATAGTAGCACCCGTTACCTTCTAGTAACAGAAAGCTTTTAAGGTCTTTAATTATTGATCATACACAGGTTGTATAACTACAAATAGCTATAGGAAGCATCTGGAGTAGCCCTACGTTTTCAGCCACGTCAAACGTCAAAAGAACATGGTATAAAACTTTTTTTGCAAATTAGATATCTTATTTTGGACTTACCCTGTGCAAGATGTTCAACAATTCTATACGCTGCTGTAGCACGTTCCAGCGCGCTATCGACAGCGAGTGAGTCAGCGTCGAGTAAAACTCGCGCCAAAACACGCAGCGACACAGACTTCACCGTCGCTTTGCATTTGTCTGCGGCCAGCGCGTAGCTATCCGCAAACCCGGCTACTATAGATTTGAAGCGGTCCAAAAGCTTGTACCTGGGGATTAAAAGATTAGTTTTTAATAAAAAAGATAGGAAAAATACAAACGATGAATTGATTCTTGAATCAGATAAGACATAATTGCTTGATCCTATTATTTAATCATAATTTTATTTTATAACAAAAAGAAAATTTGGAATTCATTTTAATTACCAGTTTAAAAAAGTACTCTCAAATTATTTACGTAGCTTAAAATATTAAAACTTTATTTTATGAGGATAACATGCTGGATGACTACCACTACAAGATATTTTAGTATTAAAGAAAGAAATAAGTCAACTGTTCTGTTATAAAATAAGAAAATTGAAAGTAGAATGATTGGATTGTTGTCACTCTTTCGCGTCATTTCAAAAACGGACAACTAACGCACATATGAATAACTACTAAACATTGCAATAATCACACTACAGTATGATTAGACATCAAAGTGTGATGGCATATATCAATAATCGCTTGTGAAGAGACAAATATAAAAAAGTGTGGCTAGTTAGTCACATTTTAATGTATCATTTGCTAAGTGCTTACAACCCATCTAGAACTTTTTACTTATAATATCATTGGTTTCACGTAAAACTACTGAACGTTCGGATGTATGGATTATAGTTTGGAATAGCATAAGGGCTATTTACCCTATATTACGGGCGGAGCCGCTGAGAGAAGCTAAGATCTTAAAAAAGTGTGTGTAAGATGTGCATTGATTCGTTCAACTCAACAGGTGTTTCTTTGTCTTTATAACCCTTTTTATATTTTTTATGGCGATCTATCGAAAGTATATTAACTACCAATATTTATTTATAAAATCATTTCATAATAAAATTATATCGTTTAATAATTTTAATATTTTAAATGATCAAACAACTGAATGAAGTCCATACCTGAACCCACGAAAACACGAGATAATCTAACAAAGGTGTAATCTCGCCAAAACGTACACTTTCAATATAATAATAAGTATTCTCATATACACAGAAACTGAAGAAAAAACTGAACTCGTATCTATAATAAACTTAATAATAAACAGTGCGAATATTACTCTAATTAAATACTTCATGTCTCAAATTAATTTTTTCACAAAGAAATCTGTGTGACGGTATACCGGCGTAATTAAGGAGGTCCACGCGACGTAAGTGCATTACCCGGCTATCTATCGATCGAATATGAACGAGACATAGTCTATACGTTGTGTATTTAGGCATCCTAGATGCGATGTCCTTTAACTCTCTCATCACGCCATCTACCTTCCGAAATTGGAATGTTTTGCGTGTACATTTATAGGACCGGAACAAACTACCCGTTTGATGTAGGTGCGCTAGTGTTATTTATCGCTGTCCCTAGATGTCGTTATGTCGCCATTAATAGCTTTGAGATGAGTGGAATATTTTTTTCATTTGGTGACACATTCAATAAATACGTTCGCAATCAAGCATAAGAAGGTATAGTTTTTGGGCTTTGTAAACTACAGTATCAAGAATGCCCATCACAGCAATGAAAAGAGACCTTTATTCGGTTAATCAACGCTCAGGGCTCTAAAAGCGCGAGCTTTATTATATTTTTTTAGCATGGTGACTAAAAGCGAAATCATGTTATTAAAGGTTTCTCACCTAGTAAGGGCTTCCAAAAGCATGGTAGGGCTAAGGCGACGAGGCTCGTGGTAAATAAGGATCACACTGCCATCTCCCTTCTCTTTCTCCAACCAGTCCAGGAAATCAGTTAAGGCGGATATCTCAGACTTTGTTTTCAATATCTGTGGACAAACACAATATTATTATTTATATTCAATCCCACCAAAATGATAAAATAGAATGATTAGAATATTGAAAAAACGCATAAGAACACTGAATTCTGTTAGACTGGTCTTCTCGATAAGAACCATGTTTTGAAAGTTTCAAAATCCTCATCGCCGATGGAGCAACTAAGGAAAAGTATATTATGTCTAACGGTTTACTTACGTAACAATATTACGAGGAAGTTCGACTAATTTCAAGCCACGCTTGAGGCTCATAATCATTATTAACACTGCGCAACCAATGAGAACGCCGAGACCGTCGGGCAATTAAAAGGAGGATTTTCGAGAAAAGATGAGGATTCTTACCTTATGAGTATTAGTGTCTTTGAGCATGCGGTATCGTCCGACAGTGACGACGCGGACATTGTGACGGCGGCGAGCTCCTGGGTTCAGGTCCCCATAAGGCATAATGTACTGAGAGTATGACTGTTTCGGAGTATACGCTGCTATTTGGCATATCTGAAACAAAATAAACATAAGGAATTCATTTATTTATATTCCTCACACAACAGGTGTTACGGTTGGCATTCTTTGTCTTTCAGACGAATGGATCTCTGAAAAGAAATTGTGCTAGTGCAAAGGCGAGGCGATTTGATAGAGTTTATGCACAGTAAACAAATGGTTTAACATGTACTAGTTTTCTAGTCTAAGTTTTCATATTTATAAGTAATTATTGTGGGTGAAAAAATCGAGGCCTAACTTGTTCGAGTAATAAAATAACATTAATTTACCCTAATGAATCATATTCAAATGGCGTGTTCTTAAGAAGAATTTATAAACTTTCCTCTGACAATTGAGCCACTAAATTGGACGAAAAGTTTCATGTATGCCAAGCTAATCTGTTTTCTCGAATCAAGGACATTCATTTCGGAAACTTTTGAGAGACTCATTATAGAAGAACAACTCCATCTATCCATCGATGTTATTCCATACAAACTTTTGCAAAAACAGGTCATAAAGGTGTAATCTAGTGCTCCCGCCATCTATAAACTGCGTTCGAAAACTGTACAACCCTTAAACAAGTTCATTTGGATGACATAGATGTCTGGCTTGGACCTACTTATACGAGAAAGTAATAAAATTATTACATACGTTTTTCATCTTTTGTGATTTTACAAACATCTGTGTTGAGTCCTAAGGATTATTTGTATGTTCTTTTATTACGACAAAATGAGAACAATGAATAATTATGAATTGGATCTTTTTAGTTATACATACGAATTTATAACATCTATAATTGTACAAAATTTGTACTTAGAAATATTGATTAAAATTAAATACGGATTTCATCATAGGAAAATGACATTTTCATGAATTTTCTATACTGATATTGTAGACAGAATGAAAAATACAGCTCGGGGTTGGATTTACTGCAAATAACATGAAAAAAACCAACGATAAAAGGTGGACAATGTTAAAAATTCAGTTTTCGGGGGTAAAAGGTGTGAAATTAGTCATTTTTGGCATAAAGTCAGTGGTAGGGCCAGAACTAGCCACCTAACGGTACCTTTAAACCCCTTAGGTAACCATTCAGCCACACTGACTTTGATGAATGGCTGCAAATTTGCGATCTCTATCGAATCTAAAAGGTGAATTATGCATTGGAATGTAATTTTAGAGTGTTTCGTATAGTACCTAAATATATCATACTTTTCGAGGCAAAGAGCACTTAACAGAAGTACTGATATATATCATTGAGTTGTGATTATTTAATACGCAAAGCTCCGATAAGTTAACAAGTTGTGCTGCTAACTATAAGAAGTAAACTATTATTCCATAAACGCATATAGCCTTTGAAAGATTAAAAATATTAAACAATTAAAACCAAGAGATCTCAATAACTGACTTTAAGGAATAAAATCGAATATGGAAAACAATAAATTAAATAAGAAACTTAACTTGAAAATCTGTATAACTTTTAACTACCCACCTCCCTAAAAACAAATCAACTAATCAAATTGGGAAAACAAAGAGAAAACATGTTCAGAAACTTGCAAATTACAAGTTTCCTCCCTTACATTTACATGAACGTCTTTCATTGAATTAATCGTGATTACATCAATGACAAAATGCCCAATTATAATTTTATCCTCCCACGTGTAGAGACCATATGGTAGATTAGTCGACAGATCAATCGCCCGATTCTAGCGAGGGACGAGACGCGAAATGAATCTGTCTATGACCTAGATGCAGATATAGTCAACAATAGAATAACTTCTAGATTCGAAGTCTGTCTAACCTTTTAAACAAACACGTGGGATTTGAAATGTGGGCGATTAACATTTTTACACCTTCCCAAGTGGTAGGCGTAAGTGCACACAAATGGATAATTGTCAGTTACATCTCTAATGTTACCTTAAGTTGTTACTTAAAATTTCAATATTTGAAATACTCAAGCTAGGCTATTAACCTTTTATTAGGGTCTAGTCGGGCTTGCCACTTGCGATCACTGAACGATACAGTCGAGTTCCTCACTTAAGTATGGAACGTGGGTCCGAGATGATCGTTGGAATATTTGCAAACACACCCACACATACACAACATAAGCATACGTCTCATGTAACCATGTCAATCCATGTCGTAAGCCACGAAACGCGTAAAAAAGCTTGCGTGGGATCCCGAAATAACTAACCAGAAAATAAATAGATTGGAATTAAGTTTTCAGTATCAAAATAGATATAGTCAGACATCAATTGCCATTTTTTTATTTCATACACTTATACTGTTGGAATTTTCTGCCCAATCTACAATATTCGCTATGCATAAGTATCATAGCAAAAATACATACTTACAACTTAGGACAGAGAAGTTTTTAAAGGAAAATAAAGGCATGGAAAGTTAATTAACCTTAAAAACTAACGATACTATCCCCTTTGCAGTCTTAAAAACAACTTTGTTATAAACTTGATAAGTACATAAGCTTATAATACAAGTATCTGTATTAGATAGGTTCCGTCTACTGCTGAGCTAGGTCCTTCCTCCATAATTTTCCATAATTTGCTAATCTGCAGACTTACCTCGTCAATTAGTCTACGCCCAGTGGTATCCATGTCCCATCCGACGAGCGCGTACTTGCCAGGGGGCAAGCCCGCGGGCTTTTCAGCAAGTGCTGGGGGCAACTCATTGGTCGCCTCCATCTCACCACCATTCGCCTTCGCTTCGGACACCATTGCCATGTAAATCTACGGCGGGCTGGTGACAAAAAAAAAACATTAGGCACATAAACGAGGCAGTATTAATAACAAGACTGAAAAATACAATCACTAAATAAATTACCTATGGTTAAGTTAAGCTCTCTTCATAATAAAAAAAAACGTAAGTATTTACGTCTGTAAAGACATTTTCTCTTTGAGAATACACCTAAGTGCTATAATGGATGATGTTGATGGAAAAGTAACTGAAACTTTTGATTTGACATCCCCAAAAAGGGTCATAGAAGAAAAAAATATTGTACTCATACATGAGATGGGTCATATAACTTTAAATATACTGATTCAGTAATTAATAGGTCATCCCGTACTTGTCATCGGTCTCATTAGGTCCCATGTTAGTCATAAGTCTAAATTGTATAAGTTTGCCTTAAACTTTTGTTAAGTTACGATAATAAACTGGAAACGCTGCTGCATTTTTAAAATTTCCATGTTCACTTTATGCATGAAATAGGAGAATATATTTGTATATTTTTACAAAACTTTAGATCACTATCTACGATGGGGAAAACCCATGACCACCGTCATCCACAACACATTTTTGAGAAGACCGTTCGCACTCCGTGCCGGTTCGCGCCGCTGTGCCGGCGCGAGGTGGTACTCTGTATTTATAGCCAGCAGTTTATAAAGGAGCCCCCAGAACACAGCCCTCCCCTCCCCGAAAAACTTTCACGTTTTTACAGTCCGTACTCCGTGCCGGCTTGCGCGTCAATGCCGGCGCAAGGGCGAAATTTGTATTTATAATGGTCCCCATACCACAGTGCGAGGGGTTGGCTGACCAACCACCCTCAAGCCACCCTAACCGCTCGGTATCGAGCACATCACAGAATAGGGTGCAGTTTCCGTTGGCATAATATAACAGTACCTACACATAGGCAGTTCGCAAATATTTCATGCAAGTAAAATTGAACCTAATGATCGTTTGCAAAAGGGTTTTTGTGACTTATAACTAGGAATGTTTAGAACTGCAGCTACGTAGAAGGGCAGATGAGTGTACTAGAGTTGCATGCAGAATTACTGATGATTCTTCCATAATGACGTGCGTTTTGCAGCTTTCAGATGCAAATGAGATGTTTTCACTTTAGGAGAACTCTCGCAAATATCTGTACCCAGAATAATAACGATCTGCTGTCGATAAGTTTTGATTTAATTAATGTTGCAATATTAATAACCTCATTGAATAAGAAATATAGAAAATAATATAAAACAAGCTAGAAATCTCGCCGTCAAGGAGCTCTTAGCTCTGTAAGGAGATGATTTGGCGCAACATTATTTCCAGTTTTTTGAAAACTATAAATGATAGAAGCTTAAGCATTAGAAACAGAATACTAACACTCCTAAAGAAGTATAACATTGATTGCGAAGTCGAAAATACTAAAAGTGATTAAGCAATTACACGCCAATTAGTCTTCGACCAATAGGGGTTAGGCTTATATGTAAAAAAATATTTGTATATGCAAGCTTTTCTTGCGAAAAAGGGATGGTATACTCTTGTATAGCTTCGCCTCGCTCTCGCAGTAAAACAAGTGTTCAACTGACGTTACAATGCACCACCTGTACCTTGTATTGAAAGTTTTGCAGCAATTCTTAGGTCGATACACGACGAAAGGGGGACTTATTGTCGCCCTTCAAAAGGCTAATAGCGTTTTCGCTTTCTGAAGAAAACAAGGGAGTGTAATTTGTAAGATTTGTTTGGATTCGTTGGCGAATGGTTTTCACGTGGCTTCAATTTTGTCTAAACGCGTTAACCCTACATGACGGTCACCGGAGCCTACTTTCAATAGTTTTCTGTCGCCAGTCAAAAATTTAAACAACTATATTTTGGAGATCATTTTAGAAATATAAGTTTTATATATCCTATTGTTTAGTTTTATAAACTTCACTATATGTTTTTTTGCTATGGCTGGGCTACCAGTTGCTATGCAACGTGTCCAGTTTGATCCTGGTACGGAACTATTTTGTGTGATCTCAAAATCGCTGTTCTAGGCCTGGTGTCTGATTGCATGACTATGTAGGACAATAATATACAATGTGTTTGTAAACCATCAGCTACCACGCGACATTTAATATCGGAAAATTGTATCTTGTTTTTATATTTATAACCTAAATGGGTATTACAAGTTAATATGCTCAAAACAGAATTGGTCTAAGATGTTAAGAAAATACTAAAGCTCCTCTTAACTTCTCTAATTTCCATAACCCGTATGTAGATACCATGTTTTCAATTTACCCTAAACCCTAAACTTTAATAGATCCAACTATACATATACTTTCGTATTAATGTCGAAAACCCATAGAATGTGGCAGTTTGGTTTTAGCTTGAAATCTTGGGTTGTACGAAATTAATCACGAAATTAATACTGCCAATTTCAGAAGACACAAGCAGCTTATAATGAAGTATGTAAATGCTGTTAGTTTGTGTAAGTTCTAGATGCTCTTGCTATTCCTTATAACCTTAGCGTTTTGTTTATAACATAGATTTATCATGTAATATACCTCAAATGTGATGCCAAACAAAAACATTTTTAAGTTTTATTTTACATAGCATGTTTACAGTTAGGTAAGAAGGTATAGGACCGCGGAGAATTTTTTATATGATAAGACGGATGAGCAGATTTTGTGTGATTGGTAAGCAATCAATGCCGCTCATATACACAAAACATACACATACCACACACCAAATAACACCAAAGGAGTTAAAATTTTGTTGCCTGCCTTTTGCGGGTAGTTAGGGATTCGAGTGTGGAGATTTTGGGATTGCGTCAAGAGAATACTCAACTGAGTTCAGGCGTCGCGAAGAACTAGACAATCCGACAAAGTAACTTTAAAACATAATTGTAACATGAAGTATATTGAAAACACATACTGATCTCAAAAAAAATGATCTCAATATTAAAATAAAGTAAGATTTCAGTCGGAGAGCTGTCTATGAAAAACTGTTAGTACAAGCTACATTGGCATATCTTAGAAGATTTTTCTTTTCCTATCACGGGACCACAGGATCCCGGACCTTTGGAAGGCGTACAAGGTACCGAAGCCAACTCGCAGCAGCCCGATGAAAAATATTAAATTATTATTGATAGTATTAGTGTTTAAAATGAAAAATACCTATCAAAAAACCTAAAGAAATAATATTTCAAAAATTAAACTATATCAGCTTGATATTAATAATTAATATAATTAAATGATGGGAATTAAAATTAATAACTTTACTAACTGGAAATTCCACTGGAATTCTAATTAGACAGAAAAGACAACCCTTTCTAGAACATTCACTAAGGGGTTTCCATAAAATATGCATTAGCTGCAAAAATCATTAACATATAAGGGGATTCCCTCTTTATCATGTGTGCATAACATTAGTCTGACTTAAAATACTAAGATAAAACTTCTAGTTGGATGATTATTGATTAGGAATATAATTATAACAATTCATGCATATTTCATATTGGCTAAATGTTTTATAGATGTCAGACTGAGAATAATTGTGGAGCTTTTCACAACTAGTTTATGTGAACAAGTCATTATCAATACATGGTATAAGACAAATGCACTTTCTCTGTCCCTATATCCCTATGCATGATTTTAGATAAAATGTGAACAGCATATTCAGTTTTCAAAAGTCAATATGTATCCTGAATATATTGATTTGATTCATTTTAAATCAAATCAAATCAAAATGAGGAACTTAAATATTGATACTTCAGACCCACATTGAGCAAGTGTGTTGATTAATGCTCTAACCTCAGAGAAAAGGCCTTTGCTCAGCAGTGGGCACTTACAGGCCGATGATGATGATGACCACTTTTTGTCATAATATTCCTAGCAGATGCTCCATTTTTACTATAGAATATGTCAACTAACTAGCAAGCAAATCATCCGATAGTAATTAGCACCACCCTTTACAACCGCAATATCAATATAAGGGATTTGAGGATTGGAAAGTATGTTTTTTTTGTTAGTGGAAAATCCATCAAATGTCTGGGGCGACGCTGTGGTGACAACATCCCAATGATACATTATAAGCTACTAGCTACTCTCGCGCGGTTTCACCCGCTGCTCGGCTCCATTTAATCATAGCGTAATGTTTTATAGCCTATAGCACTCAGGAACTTTGTAGCTATCAATCAGTGAAAGAATTTTGGAAATAGACCAGCGGTTCCAAAGATTACCCCCTACATACAAACTTACAAATTTGACCTCTTTATAGTATTAGCATAGAAGAAAAGCTATTTTATAATGATCACTTTATTACTTGCATATAGGACTGGACTGTGGATACCTACATAAACAAGTCAAAAATAATGTATAGAAATATTATCAGATCCAAAAATAATCTACCCACAACTTATAACTTTTTGAGTATCAAAATTAACCTTACAATCATGGCAATTCAAGACACAACGGGGTTTAATGTATTAAATGTAATTATGATGCATTTATGCTTACCTCATAATAAGAAAATTAAGAAACGGCTTAGTATCCACAACCTAATAGCCAACAGGAAACAACTATCTTTAACACAATTAGATAAACAATGTAAATATGTATGTTCTATTCATATTTATATTTTAAGTAGATGACAATGACTGAATCACGGACAATACATATTCTAACAAGTAGCTAATAAGATCCGTTCATGACACACAAGGGTTATGAGATAACAAAATTGAGTTGCATGTCCTTTAAATACTTTCTTGATGATGTTATCTAGATATTAAAAAGTACAGATATATATACCATTTTAAGATATTTATGACATTGGTAACGGAAAGCAAAAGTACAATATGATAATAAAACTTGTAAGTTTTAAGTGTAAAATGTTTCTGTAAGAAAACTTTATGTGCACCATGGACACTATAATCAAAGCAAATATTTACTTTTTATTATCTGTAAACCTGTTATTTTGGTGTTTTTTTTTTGTTTTGAATAATCAATTACATATGTACTGTTATCTAACTTTAAAAAAATCTTAGCCTGCGTTTGTGCAATAAATAATAGCCATTATCTGCTATTCCTACCTACATACTGATAATTTTTTTCTACATTATTATTTTATTAATAAAAATATGCAAAATATTATATGGTTCTAGTTTAAAGAATTACAGAATCAGATCAGAATAAATATTTCTTATAAGAATAACACACAAAATACAGAACGAATCGCGTTCAAAAATTCACACTTGAAAGGTTATAAAAGTTTGAAGGTACTAAAACAAATGTTGTGCTAATGTATATTTAACTTATTGGAAAATACAATGATACTACTGTACGCTTATGTTCACAAAACGTTATTGTTTAAAAACAGAAACAGTAGATTCTGCTCGATAAGCTAAAAATTTGACGCTCAAAATAATCATCATGTGAAAACAAAATAATTACGCCGAACATAGACGAAGACTCCCACGACCTCGAACCGAAATATTTAGTTCCAGGAGCTCAATATACTTTGGGAAAAATTCTGAATACACGATAAGACTTATCATAAACGTAAAATAAAGGAAATTTATAATTTAGGACACGTGGCGGTCTTTTTCTAGAGACATTTTGCCCCACCCCAGCATGTCAAAATAATTTCAATGTGATACTTACAACCTAAATGCAGTGATGATTGGATGAATTCAAACAATATCTGTTTACAGGAGATCTTTGCGATGTCCCGCTTACGCTGCAAAGTAAAATAATTTGGTAAAAATATCACAAAATCTAAGCACGTGTGCGGCAAATGGCAAACCGCAAATTGTGAGTGATGTGAACAAAAAAATCATATCTATCGATAAGATTTCGATTACTCATATTCACATTTCATCATTAAATTTATTATTTAGAGATGTATTTTACTAAATACAAAATTTATTTTTATACGCAATCCAATGAAATGAAAGATATATTCGAATCATCGTTTTCGTTTACATAACTTATCCAATGTTAGTAAATAACACCTTACATCAATTTATCACTTATTCATTTAGAACGATTAGAACGATTATTAACAATATTTTCTGTGTCCAAACTAAAACTTACTGAGATATCTAAACGATTCACGAATTTTATTAGCACCTAATGTAAATACATCACTAGTAGGCCACTACTAAAGTCGGGAAAAAACTTGAAAAAAAACATTGACGCGTTCGAAAATCAACAAGTCTATGGCATAAAGGTTTTATATTAAATAGGTATTGCTAAAGCATCTTAGTCACGGTTCGAAGATAAAAAGGCAAATGTTTACTATTTTAACAAAATAATATTAAAGCTTTGTAATTACTATTGAAACTGAAAACTAAAAAAAAAAGAGTAGCCTGCCCTCTATCCATGATGAAAAAAATTATACTCTCTAGACTATTTATAGGAATAGGAGGAACCCTATAAATACATTTTTTCAGCAGCGCGCTGTCCGCTCGGGTCTCATATCGGGTGGCGAGCTACCCTTACTCATTCATATTCAGATAATCATTCGCCTCACTGCTCCTTACATAGACATAATTCCTGCGCCGCCATACTGATAAGGAAGCTTTTTAACTACGACAAAACTCTCAGCAATGTCAATCACGTTTTATAGAGAAAATATATCATTGTTATAAGTAATTCAGAATGTTGTATACTCCTGCTCCTCCTGTGGCCTATGTTTTGTCTGCTATTGTTTTATAGGTCGATCCCACCACCGAATTTCTTTTTTGGTGTCGGGTTGGAAAATCCTCGTGAAGACCCACCACCTATGCATGTGTCGGAGGGGCGGGTATCGCCGAAGCATTCGGCGCATCCCCCGACAGCCAGATAGCTGGGTCCCGTCACCCACTTCGGCCATCACCCAAGAATATTATAAAGTACACTGGATGTTGCACCAAGAAAAAAGAACTGAGGACTAATAAAATGACCTTGATACACGTCATTTATGTTTTGCATCTCTTTCATCAGGGTGACAACTATTTTTACTAGCTTTAGGATATTTTGTACATATTTATGATTGTTTAAATTCAACATTTCTATTTTAGTGTGGTTTTCGATCGTATTAGTTTTGGTTTAGTAATCTATACATACATATAATTGTAAATCTGTAGAGAACTCAATTCTGTACATTAAATATATTTTCAAAATAACTATCAGGGGTTGGTAGTCGATAACTCGATACTGATGCTAAAAATACAATGGCTAAAATGTTTGTCTGTCTGTCGTATGTTCCTTATCCCATTCGTTGCTACCAACGCACCATTTGCGTTGATCGAGAAAACTACGTCATGCCACCAACATACCGTATGCGTTGAGGGTACCTTAGGACGTTTATTGGCATTACATAAAAATTATAAAAAATATTTAAATATTTGTCAACATTTCATGGCCAGAAACATTTTTTAAATGTAGAAATACTGTTGGGTTTTGCTTTGAACTGTGTTCTTGTGCTGATAAGGAAACAACGGTTGGTGCCTTGAAGATCGATTTTGATTTTGGAATAACAGATGTTTTAATGAGTGTTTACCGCATGTTTGTGAATTGTCCAACGCCTGCGCTGCGCCGGCCCCATGCCTTTGCTTTACGTCGCTTGCGTATGTTTTAGGTCTAAGGCGAGCGCAAAGCGTGCGCGGATGCTGTGCGTGTTCAGCGCATGTTATCTTAATACACCCTTAAGAGTACTTACGTATACACACAACCGTTAACACTTAACAGTAATACTGCTATATCTAGATATCATTTCTTTAGATATTAAACTTGACACAAATATTTTAGCAGGTAAGCAACACAAATTAAAAAGATATACTACGTATGTAAACAATAAGAATTATAATGATAGGTATTCTTTCAAAAACACCCCTTGAAAACAAGTCAAGCTGATAAGTTCCCATTTAAGCTTAAAAATTACTTGCAGCTAAAAGCCAATACCTATTTGATTTCATAAGTCCTTACCAGTCCACGATATCAACCATCATCATCTTCCTGCCCTTGTCCCGTTTTATTTGGGGTCGGTGCAATATGTTTTTTTCTTCCATTCTGTCCTGTCACTCGTCACGCTATCGCTAACTCCTCTGTCTTCCATATCACTTCTCACACGATATCAACCATTCAATAAATTTCCTTAAACAGTTACAAGTCCTCGTTTTTATTCCAAATCATAAAGCCTAGTATCAAGTCCTTTTTATTTAAATAATAACAATGTCTATACATATTGAAAGAGGGCGAATGTAAGATCATGTGTGTTGACGATAGGATCCCGATCTCGATTTTCAGCCACCATAGGCACGGGCTAGCGGATGGTGAATAATTGGTAGGTTGCCGTCAGACCGTACCGGGGATATTTAAAAAAAGTCATTACAGTGCAAAATCATTTTTATTAATAAAAATCACAAGTTTATATCACACGTGTGAAAATAAAACAGTTTTATGCAATTTTTGCCTTGTCACCCAAAAGCTTTTGAGTATAAGTTTTCAGATAAGAATGAATTCTTATTTAAAAAAAACTATTCGAAATATATTTTATTATTTTTAAGTGTGGGAGAGCCATGCTTCGGCACGAATGGGTCGGCTCGACCGGAGTGATACCACGGCCTCACAGAAAACCAGCGTGAAACAACCACAGCGTTGTGTTTCGCCGTGTGAGTGAGGTTACCGGAGGCCCAATCCTTCCCCTCCCTCAATCCCTAGATCTCCAAATCCCAAATCCCTAAAAGGTCGGCAACGCACTCGTAACTCCTCCGTTGCGGGTGTCCCTGGGCGGCGCTGATTGCTTACCATCAGGTAATCCGTCTGCTCGTTTGCCGACCGATTACATAAAAAAAATAAAGTTTCGTGTAAATCCATACAAGTATCAGTGATTGGATGTTTAGGCACAAATAATTCCTGCAACAATGGATAAAATTTTTCCAGGACCGCTAACACTAATTTCGATTGTACATTATACCTTTGGATACCGAGTGCTTAAACAAACTATCTGAGTAGCGCACTACCTCGAACGCTGCATCAGATGCGAAACATAATTTACCCCTATTTACAAAGGTCGTAAACGCAGAATGTCTATTAATATTAACAAAATAATCATGATCATATTTTTTATTTCATTTTCGGTAGTTAATAATTGATGACAAAAGTTACAAGTGTTTTTTTGTAAAATTTTATGAACTATGAATTCTGTTATATTCTGTAATTACGAACAATGTTAAACTAACGACTTCAAATCTTTTATTTTTGTTCATTTCGCGCAACTTTTTGTTGTAATTTTTTTTTCGTTTTTTCCAAACACTTTTCCCGAGTGACTTTATTTTACATTGAACATTAAAATCTTTTAAGCGGCGTCGTTTCGCTGGCGGTTCATTTTCATCAACTACCTGTGGAACAAACATTATAATCAGTAACAACTAAGATGATCAAAAGGACTCAATGTCTATCATGAGCTTATTACATCGTGAAAAAACCAAAAAAAACCTAACCTGGATGTTGAAGGTTTGGTTTGACTTCTATGCCATAAGTACAAGCTAATACTACACAATAAATTAAATACTTACAATATTTTCACTGTGTGTTGTGCGTTGGTATTGTTTCATTTGATGAAGCCGAGCACTTGCATGGCGTTGTACTTGCCTGTAATTTGAAATATTATTGTTAACATGATTGCTAGGTATGTAAGCAGCAAATTTTGAAAAGGATAAAAACATACCTAAATACTAGACAATAAGTTAAATACTTACAATATTTTCATTTTGTATGATGTGTATGTCCTTTTCGCAACAGCTGTGTTCTTTTCCTGACACTGGAACAAGTATCAGTTTCTGTCGGTATCATTGCATTAGGTGAAACCAAGCATTTGAATGGCGTTTTACATGCCTGTAATTTGAAATATTATTCTCAACATGGTTGTTGGATGGGTAAGCAGCACATTGTGAAATGTAAAAAATGCTTACCATAACGTTATTACCACAGGAGCATAATTGTACAGAATCAACCGGAACAGCACTATTTAAAAGCCTTTTTGGTCTTAATGGATCATAATTCTCCGGCTTAAAGTGTAAGCTACAAATCTTTGCTGATTCATAAAACTTCCCTTTTAATGGTATAACAGACCACCATTTCTGCCTTTTTTCCGAGTCCTTGGGAAAACTGAAACATAAAATTAATTGTATATTAACCAAGTTGACTGATTTAATTTACTGTAATTAGAGCAAAATAGCAGGACCTCTCTAACCTTAGTTTCAACACTCTTTTAATTATTAAAATTTGAAGACCTTTCTGTTTTACCCTCAGATATAATACGTTAGTCTCATTATAAGAGCAACGAAGCCTACATAAAATTCAACCATTCCACAAACCAAAAAGTATCTACCTAACTTAAAAAATATGGTCACTCTTTAGCTCTTTGTTTACAAACATACAATTTTGACGTCTAAGACTAAACGTACCTGTTTTTTAATAATTAAATGCGATTTACACATATAAATTTCTAAACGATGACAAAGATTACTAGATAAATGTTTGTGACACCGTTTCGAACGTAAATATTTACAGATTTTTTAAATATTGGCATAAAATAGGTAACGATAATGTATAACTTAAAATATGGTATTTCTGGACTTACCTGTGAAAGATGACATTTCATGTTGTGTTCCATACACTTGTACAATCTTTGACTACGCAATACATAATAAGGCACTTTAAATTAATTCACAAATCCTCGAAATACTTCAGTCAAACACTTCGAGTAGTCGAAAAGTAATTGACAGAGTAGCCATTTTGGATAATACTACCCCAACAGTGTTACAAGTTTTGAACTCCACGTTAAAAGTTTAAAAGTGGGTAAACTTAAAAGTAATTTTAATAAAAAAACAACTTTAAAATAGCTTGAATAAACTATGAATAACTTTTAAATTGTTTAAATTTTTAAGGCTGATATTTGGATTTCAAAATAAACATAAAATATGTGTGCCTCTCTTTTGGTCATATATTTATGATCAGTTACCAAGGTAAAAAGTCATTTTATTATGGCAACATTTTATTCAAGTGTGAGCGAGATAAAAAACATACGAAAGGTGAATAAACTTGGATTCAATAATTTCTTATAGGGGCAACATCCAGTGTTCTATATAATATTCTTGCCATCACCCCACGCGGAACACGGCGCCGCCGCCTCGGAATTGCTGCTAGTCGGACAACACGATGCCCCGAGTCTGTTGTCCGCAAGCCGCGCCCTGCAGTGGCCGTAGGTTGGCCTTTCTACTAGTCCGGTGCGTCTGCTGCAGGAGGGGAGAGACGAGGCAGCTTCTCTCTCCCTTTCCCCCGCCTCATTTGCGAGCAACACGGCCTTTAAAAAGGTAACGACGCCACAACACCCTGATGCGCTTCCGACCTTAGTAGACACTACAGTCAGAACCGAAAGATTTCCCGCAGCACCTAGGGGAACGACCAAGTCACCGCGCTAGTCGGCTCAAGCTGGGCACTCCGCCAACGTATGCAGTAACTGTACCTTATCAAATATCTCTGTATTGTCTCCACAATTTTTTAGCACATGTTTCGTAATTTCGTTTGTGAATTTTTAAGTTTCATCACAGGTAAGATATTTTAGGACACTACTATGGCATAGACACTGGTTTTTTACAGCCGTATAGAGTGGTTCTTTTCGAGGAACAGTCTTTTGAATGAATCGTTTTTTACGTCAATGTCAAAGTGACGCTTGTTATAACCGTCAACTCTGCACTCAGCAGGTCTGATTCTAACCAAATAAATGGTATTTTTACTATTTAATTGTTGATATTTACTGTTTAAAATGACAGAAAATGGAGATTATTACCGTAATCAAATAGCTATTGCTAGAACTGAAATAAAGAACTTAAGGTAAGACAGTGATAAGTTGATAAACAATGTTAAAGGCCCTCACTTAAATTCCAAGTTTAATTCGATTTATTCTTGTAGGCAGCAAATTTCTTCGCTTAAACAGGAACATGCAAAAGAAGTAAGGCATATTAAGAGTCATCTGAACACACTGCGCTGTGCAAACTGTGGCGATAATGGTAATTGTGGAATTTTGAGATTATTTATTATTAACACTGAAATTTTACGCACCCATGCATTTGTAGAACGTATTCGTCTCTGTAAAACATTGTCTAAGTGATTCATTAAGGATGAAGTAGACATTTAGAGACTTTCGGTCTGATTCAGACATTCCAGTTCACACGAAAATCTTGGTTTCTAGATTGCTGTGTAATAACTTATAGTCACTACTTATATTTTTTAACAACTCCCCGCAAATCTATCAACATGGATTAGATTACACAGTAAGAAGTTTTAACGTAATGTTTTTATCAAAGTTACCATTATGTTAAAATCTGTTATGGTATCTACATCTGTTATGATAGATGTAATCTATTTCACATGATTTTGAAACTTCAGTCTTTAAAGAAAGACTACAGATAGCAAGTATTGCAACCTGTAGTTTTTCTTAAAATTATTTTTACTCTAGTTAGCACTCAAAATGTTTGGTCTTAAGCCTAATTTCTATCGTTATAGAATGAACCATGGTTCAAGGAGACCAATTATTTTATAATTCTCTATTTTTCAGCAACAACAGTTATACCAACTCATAATGGAGGGGATATGTCACAGCTTGATCCTGAAGATCTCGTTTATAAACCAATTGGTGTGATTGAGACTGCGTTCCACAATAAACGGGGAGTTCCTCGTCAACCTTCGGTAATGGCAAATGCTAGAGGAACCGTGGTGATCAATACTTCTGTGTTTAATAATCCAGATCATGCGTTGATTGGACTTGAGGAGTTTTCACATATCTGGTAAGTTAATTCTAAAGTGATAGGTCATAAAAACATTCTACATAGCCAAAAAAATGTCTTCATCAACTTTGGAAATATGTATGTACGTAGATCAATTATTTATAATGTATTTTGTAAAATTGTGCCTCTTTTCTATATTCTATACCTACCCAGTCTTTTTCTATTGAAACACACCATGGTATCCTTGATCATCACTCACCTTCCACAGCATTCTAGATGGTTGGGAACTTGGGAGCAAGGCTTTACACATCAACTTAATATTGAGATGAAGGTTGACAGCTAGTCTCAACCATCTTATACATCTTTTCATGATGCTGGTGGAAGCCAATGTCTAATTATAATCATTTCCTTGTACACTTTCAGGATATTATTCCATTTCCACATGACAGAGAGTACGAATTCACCAGCGAAAGTGGCGCCACCTAGGCTACGTGGCGAAAGAAGGGGCGTTTTCTCAACTCGATCACCCCACCGCCCTTGTCCTATCGGCCTTTCTCTTGTCAAGATAGACAGGATTGAAGGTATGATGATTAAAGACATAAGGACAATTTCCATTTTGTGTCGTAAAAAAAAAATCTCTTTCTCTAAAGTGAAATACTTTATTATGTTATAATCACAGCTTGGTCAATAACTGATCAATTTGGGCCGAGGTATGTCGACTTTTTTATGTAGCCCGTGCGACGCATATGGCTCATACGACAGGGTCCTGGCGTGGTTCGAAACTAATCAAGTGAGCTCGTCAAACAGCTACACTTATTTGTGCCAGACTAATATTTCATCATTCATTTGTTTCTACAGTGCTATAATATTCATTTTACTCTTTTGATCAGACACACCAATCATCACCAGATCACTTTAAAAATGGCTATTGCATTCTTACAGGAAACAAAATACATTTCTTTGGTGTGGACATGGTGAATGGGACCCCAGTATTGGATGTGAAGCCGTATATCCCCCAATATGACTACCCTGTGCCTGCTTTCGGAGAAAACATGTCGGCACTAGTAAGGCCTCCCACAGAAGGAATTAGCGATGTAATTGATACACTTGCCAATCTACCAATTAATGATGAAAATTTTGATGCAAGGAGGTGGGTTATGTTTATTTTTTTAAATAAAGTTTGCCATTTAAAAATCATATACTTTTTTGTATATCATTCGATTATCGTATTTTCAAGACCATTTGTGGATTACAGTAAGCAATATATGAGACTATTTATTTGAACTTCGCCAGTTGTGTTTTTAGTTGCAGAAAATGTAGTTAGTTGCGCCAGGCATTTCATATTTCGAAAGTCGAAAAATTTACTAAAAAAAAAACTATGTCTGACGAATGAGGCATGTACCCAACTCGACTATCTTCTCGATTAATCGCCTAGTAGAGGCATTTAGATCGATGTCATCATATTATATCTCAACATTTTTTATGTTGGTTTTTCAGTTTCGATAAAATGCTAAAATTAATAATTAATGCTTCATCAAGTAAGTTTTGAATCCACATAGTAATAAATGTAGATAGAATTTATATCTTACGACGTTTTTATTACAAACCTTATTATGAAATCAGTAGATGTCGCTTGTAGTGTGTAGGCGAATAATGTAAAATGTAGGTACAAAACAAACTTCTTCATTTCGTAAATTGTACATAAAAAGAGGTTTTCTTATTTCAGTCTCAGCCCGCGGGTAACGAATCCAATCGGCATAGATACGACTACATCTCGTTCATTTGGAGAGCCGTCATCCGAACAGCCGAGTAATGGAACTACTCCAGTATCTCCGTCATCAGAGTCACCATCAAGTGTTGACGTACTTGATGGCAGCTACCGATCGCCTACCGCCCGAAGACCAGAAACTGAGAGGGGAGCGCCTGATGGTCAAGAAAGGTATACCCCACCACAATCAGCTCATGTCACAAACATAACTCATGATGGTATAAGGGTAGCTCCATGGATCGCGAATCCGCCAGCACAGACTTACGACGTACGATTCACTGATGATGCGCTCGCACGGTTAAATGAGTTGATCGGGGACAGAGCGCAGGGTTTCAAAGCTAATTTGGAATGCTTGCTTTCCGAAGACCCAAGGTCCCAATACGTAAGAAATAGATATCCAGGTCATGAGTACAGTTGTGTACTTGAAGATATTTCTATAAGCTGTGTCTTCGATGCCAGTTCCTCTGTCTGCACGATCATAGCTATACGTAACGCAGAAGATTTACAAACTTGATATGTTGCATAATAATTCTACAAGCACATTACAATAAGTCATCGGCACCATGTTTTTGTTAAAGATTTTATTATTACTATTGTGAAAAAAATAAAAATATTAAATCATATTGAATTTAGAAAAATAATGTCTTTTATTTTATTTTAAAATTGTTGACCAAAATTTTATGTATACATACAAAATAAATGCCACTACACAGTCCATAAATGAGTACTTGACGAAAACATATAATATAAAAATACAATCTCAAATTTATAACAAAATATAAACTAGGAATACTTAGAATTTATAGTAAAAAAGACAATACAATACTGTAGGTAATCTTCAGACATGTCCATCCATTCAGACATGTCCATCAACACATACATGAATTAACTGAGTACCTAAGTCGCTAGTTTCAATAATTTTGCATATCACACGATAGTTACTGTTCAAAAAATATGAGCATATCACATTTAAACTTTTTTATAGAACAAAATCTGTTTGCCAGAACCAAACCCGCCAATAGTGTCTAAAATATTAAGCTCTACGTATTTAATTTTAGTGCCATTTAATGGAATGCTTTTAACAGTTTCATCGTGATCCCAATTTATTTTGCTGGACATCGAGCTCCAAGTCTTACCATCGGTCGAATGTCTGTATTGCACTTGTAGTATGGTCCCGTTGCCAGCATCTTCGCGAGGTGTGTATTCTAATCGATCTATCTCATGTATGCCATCCAGGTCGAAATTGAGCGTGATTACTTTACCTTTCTGCGGGTTTGCTTGATCTGGTTTCGCCCAATGAGTATGCCACAGCGAACATGCGTCCCCATCAGTCAACTTACAAACTTCTTGGGACGGCTGGCATGGAATGTTGCAAGTAACTTTGACTACTTTAATTGCATGCTTCTGCGGATTTTCCTTCGTCGATACAACTATAGTGTAACTCCATTTTGACACGCCTTCAGAGTGAGCTGAACGAATTTTGAACTTATGTTCCGAATCAAATGCGAAACCTTCAAACGTGAAATTAGAACCTGAAATGTTTGTAAATACTACTCCGTCTCTTTCTATTTCAACGTAAGCTCCCGTCACTGGCTCCCAATGAAGAGTAATAGACGTAGGTGTCACATCTTCGTCGCGTACTGTAAAGTTAGAGGGATACCGTAACGCGTTATTCAGAGTTGTGTTGTTTCCGTGAATACTGTCTTTGTTTTGATAGTCATTGATTTTAATATGTATATCGCTTGTCGTGACATCTGTTTTACGTATTTTAATAAATAAGAACTTTTTTTCTAATGCCTCCCCACCAAAGCCTTGAAGGTATGGGTTAACAATATAATCTTCTTTGAAGTAGAATGCATCGTCTGCTGTGTTGAATTCTTCTTCAGTTCTAACTTTCATCATATTTATTGGTTCATTATTTATTGCAACTTTAACGTAGTCAACTGGTTTCGATATCATTATCCTAAGTAAAGTTGTTCTTTCTCTTACCATGTTCTTGTATTTTCCAATCGTCTTGCGAATATGTATATGCAAATTACCACATTCATTTGTTGAGGGGCCTGAGACTGACAAATGAGTGTAAGCATGAAAACCATCTAAATAATCAGAAGTATGACCATCGTCTTCATATACTTTAAGATCTGTTTCACCATTCGGATAAATATTGTACACTCTTAGGTCTCTTTCAATTTCATTAGGATTGTTATTTGGATTAACCATAGGTATGATAGCACCATCTTTTACAAAAACTGGTATGCGCCATAGTGGAGTTTTCAAATGATTCCATATTTTACCTCCTTGGTATTTTGCTCCTGTGAATAAATCTATCCACACTTGTTTGTGGTCTGGAAGGAAAACACCATTACGGACCCAGGGTCCATCAGAGTTTTTTTCTTTATACACTGGCGCTACTAATATTTTGGGACCCCACATAAACTGGTACTGAGAGTCTTTCGTGTAAGCGCAGGGTTCTTTTGGAAATTCCAGAAACATTGCCCTAATCATCGGTAGACCGTTAACTGATTCATGAGCTATGGTATAATTGTATGGCAAAAGCATAGCTTTTAATTTCAAATACGCTCTGTTAATTCGCTTGGCTTCATCATCAAAGCTAAAAGGAGTTTTTTGCACTTTACCCCAACCGTCCATATTTAATTGTAGTGGTGTGAAAGTCTTCCATTGATAATCTCGCACATTAACTGCTTTGCCTTGTCCCCCGTAAATACCGTCCATATCAGAACCAACTATTGGAATTCCGGAGAGGCCAGATCCAATATACGTCGGTATGTGGAAGCGTATGTATTCCCACTGTCCTCCAGTCTGATCTCCGCTCCATACCCCTGCGTGCCTTTGGGTTCCTGCCCAACCGTCCACTGTTATGACCATGGTTCTAGCTTTGTGTTTAGCGCCTTTATGAAAGAGTTCATTAGCGTGTTCTAAGGCGTTAAGGCCGAAAGAGTATCCAGATCCAATCCACGCCACATCACACTTGAGCGCTACAACACCAGCTACACCTACTTCCTTTTTTAAGTCGCGCTCTCCTTTCTTTGGGTTTTTCGGATCTGCCGGTTCTAAATTAGATTCAGTCCAAAGTGCAACTTCCACACCTTTTCCTCTGGCGTAGTCTGCAAACTGTTTCAAATTTTCGATATCACCATCTAAGGAGTCAGACTGTCCGTAGCCACAACCATAGCCATCATTGGGCACGAACCAGCCTAATGGCATGTCATGTCTTTGGTACCTACCAATCATAGCTCTTGCTGAAAATTGGTAATTATTTTTCTCTCCATTTAAAGACTCTAATATACCATCTTTCCCATTCATATCTTTGGGTTGATAACATTTGTAATAAAATCCGTCTTCAAACAAAATCGCGCCAGGCGTATCCTGCATCACTTTGACCCAGTAATCACGGTTAAACGCGTTAAGGTGTGCTTCATAAAACGCGTATTCAGGCATGAAAATCGGGTTTCCGGTCAATTCATAGTAGTCGGTCAGAATATCTTTAGGATTTGAATTTATAAAGAAAAATGCGTCAAAGTCTTCTCCTTTGTGGGAGGTAACGACCACGCTAGGGTTTTTAGTACCAAAATCATAGACGCCTGGTTGCCAAGTATTGCGTAAGATTCCATAACCGTAAGTGGACCAGAAGAAAGGGCATGGCGATGTGACTCCTCCATCGACCCAATTATTTGAGTTAACGATATCTATTTTTTCTCCTTTGTGTGTAAATCTGCCGTTCTGCATTCCGCCTCCAAAGAAATACTCGTCCTCATTTTGATGTAGCGTATGTTTCACTTCGTTACCAGAATAAGAGAGTGGTTCAGATTCCTTTATTATTTCATTGTTCGTCCTCATATCTCGTACGATCATAGTCCCTTTTCGTTTGTCGAAACGTATTGTAATTTTATTGGTATAAACATTGTAGCATTTATCCGTAGTTTCAAGAACGGAATATTCAAACGATTTGGGATCGTAATCAGTGATAGCTTTAACGTTTATTTTTGCTTTGTCTGTCGGGTGGTTTGGTTCAGGATAGTCCAAGAAAATGCCGTTGGGCGACATGTAGTATTTGAAAACATGGCTATTTAAGATATATAGGCGAGCGAGCTCTCCTGTATCATAACTTATTAGATAATACGCTTCCTTTTTCACTATGGTAGATATGCCCCCTAGGGTTTCCATGTTTAGGTACGTTCTTATTCGTAGTTACTACTAGTTTTTAAAGTGACCTGACCTGGAACAAGGAAAATATAAATTAGTACGTACCTACACAGCTGAAGTTCTCTAAATCTCCTGCAAACTTCCTACTTCGCTATGGGTTTGTCATACTACCACCGAAAGTTAAGTACTTCTTTGTATATTTATTTTACGGAGGCACCCACCACTGCGCACGTCTCGCCAATCATTACGCATGAATTTCCTGTTTTATACCTGAGCTTATTAAAATAAATCACAATGGCTGTTAATCGTTGCATAGGTAGATAGGTAAGGTAAAAGGAAAAAAATTAAAATAACACTAAAATGTAACTTTGTTGTAGAGCTAATGATTTCGTTACTAGAATAGGGATGAAATGCAAATTACCTTTTTTGGTTGATACGGTCGGCCAAAAAAAAGGTTATAACCCTGGAAGAAGCTAGTAAATTTTATAAACCAGTCTGTACTTCACAGATGAAATGGTACTTATACTGCATTCCTGTTTACTTTTGCGATTTAATTTTCGCGCCAAAATATTTAGTAGATAAGCTTGTTTGTAGCAATAGGATAAAACTAGGAGTAAAGGGAAAGATACTTTTAATTAAATTTTAATTGGGGAAATGTATTATTTTTTAAGAACAAATATTAATTATTAAATGGCAGTATAATGGTAAATTTGGTGAGAAAATAGATTTTATGTACTTATATGATTTTAATGATTTGGTACTATGGTACCGTAAAGAAAGCTGATGTTAGTTGTCAAAATTGTAAAACTTTATGTAGGTACTTACGTGGACAAAACAGCCTCGGTTCAATACTAATGAGTGGCTACGTACTTAGTTTGCAATTATATAGATAACAAGTATTAGGACGACCTTATAGAACACAAAAGAATATTATTTACATTGAATAAATATGTAATTTTGTAATAATAACTAATTTGGCGAGACATTAATTACGTACTATGTACACTGATGATAACAATATTAAACAGTTGTATACAATACATCACGTAAATATAAATAAAGAAAACAACAAAACAATCAATTTTAACCTAGAAATGAGTACTGATGTGTACAAAAGTACACCAAAGAGTAAAGTTGGTACCTATCACAATGTGTCAAATTTAGCTAAAAAACATAATCATAAATCTATTAATCGACTAAACTAACTAACTTACTATTTTATTGACGAAACTACAAAGCTGACGTTTCATTTTCGCTTGTTTGAGTTTGACATTTAGAGATTTTTGTTTGGTTGCTTGACGGCCGGACTCAGCGAAAAATTTGATTACTCATTTTGTACGAAAACCTGTGAAACTTTCATTTATTCGTTTTATTCTAAAAGAAATCTATTCAAGGTATGTATAAATAAGTTTAAGAACAACGAGCAGTTTGTTGAACTTTAGGAAATTTATCAAAACGCTTTGTCATGGTGCCCAAGTTCTAACCTATCCCGGTGAAACTAATTTGTTTTCTTTGCAGATGTTTCTTACACGTTCTGAGTACGACCGTGGTGTAAACACATTCAGCCCTGAAGGAAGGCTGTTCCAAGTGGAATATGCCATTGAAGCGATCAAACTTGGTTCGACGGCGATTGGTATCTGCACTTCTGAAGGTGTAGTTCTGGCTGTAGAAAAGAGGATTACTTCGCCACTAATGGAGCCTACTACGATTGAGAAGATTGTAGAGGTGGACAGACATATTGCGTGCGCTGTTTCTGGATTGATGGCTGATTCTAGGTACTAAGATTAATGTCATATAAAAGTAGAGTAGTTTTCAATGGTATACATTCATTTCAGAGGCGTTTTCTTGGCTTAATCGGTTAAAAATCAAATATAATTATGAATTAACAGATCACTTTATAATTTACCATTTTAACATAGAATAGTAATAACAAATTATGTTACCAATATATTGATCAAATTACTAACTTTCAGAACTTTAGTGGAGCGTGCTCGTGTGGAGTGCCAGAACCACTGGTTTGTGTACAATGAGCGCATGAGTGTGGAGTCTTGTGCTCAGGCTGTATCCAACTTGGCCATCCAGTTTGGAGACAGTGATGATGATAGTGGAACAGCCATGTCTAGACCTTTTGGTGTTGCTGTCATGTTTGCAGGTAATTTTGGATTAAAACTTACTGTGGCTTAGAAATAGTTTAACATAAATCTTCTGCTCATAATTTTGGGTTACTAGTACTGTTGTGCATTAAAAGTATTACATATCATGCTATGCTTAAAAGTCTCAAAATACAATTTTGTAGGAAGAAAGTAAATATAACTATACATATAAGACACAGAACATTGACTATGCTTGCAAGTCATTTAGACCATTTTATCTTTCAATCATGGTAATATGAGACACAAGTAAGACAATAGGTGTGTGAATGCTGAGGTTTGAACAATAAATTAATTTGAAGATATAGTAAAGGAGTTCAAAGATCTTATTCTACTAATTAATATTAACGCATCCAGTGCCCCCGACGCGTATGTGCATTTCCTTACGCTACTCTGTGTGCCCTCGACGCACTGGGCACTAATAACACTTTTGTCTTATACTAATTTCTGGTTATTCTTTACTTCCAGGTATTGATGAGAAAGGACCGCAGCTGTTCCATATGGATCCCAGCGGTACATTTGTGCAGTATGATGCTAAGGCCATTGGCTCTGGTAGTGAAGGTGCTCAGCAGAGTTTGAAGGTTAGTTCTATGAAGCTTTTGTTTAATATTCTTATTTAAATTATAAAAGTAGGATACTATTGAAGCTCTTTGTGTATTCCAGATTAAAAAATAATTTATAAGTAAAGTCTGTCTAACAATAGTTATTAAAAGTGCCCATTGTTGCCTATTAGCTAGATATACTTATGAATAGATATTGTGGAGTTCATTATAACTCATCAACCTATGGTTGTAAGATTTTAAAAAGAAATAAACTTTCTTTAATCTTTCAATTAGACACAATAGAATATTAATAGGTGTGCGAACTCCAGTGTTTGCTTGGGATTTGATCAATTAAAGTGCAACATGGTTAATTAATTTTTTTTCTGCCTTCTTAGGAAGTATACCACAAATCGATGACTCTCAAGGAAGCTATTAAGTCAGCGCTCACTATCCTCAAGCAAGTTATGGAGGAGAAGCTTTCAGAGAACAATGTGGAGGTTGTGACCATGACTCCTGGATCCATGTTCCACATGTTTACCCGAGAACAGCTGGCTGAGGTTATTAAAGACATACCTTGAGTACTCATAGTAATTAGCAGTTTGTTTGTGTAATTATATCATTGATTTCTAGCTTTTTAAAAGGAATCTTTTTCTGAAGTTGATAACCAAACTCATAACAAAAACTTTAGAGGTTTTGACACTAGTTCTATTGAATTTTTGTCAAAAATCTAGGGATTTTTTAAGAATGGTTATTTATTTTGGTTCTCAGTGATATAGTTACACAGTAAACGCGTATTCGTCGCTTGAATGTAAATTAAAAGTAATATTTGAAGTAAATTGTATTTATTTTGAAAGCAGTTGTAGTTTTTGTATCGTATTTCGTGTTATAATGAAATGAACCCCTTCCATAGTTAAATAAGGTCTACTTTGAATTGAAATTGGATTTATATATTAAATTCCGTTATTTTTTATTGTTGAAATATTTTTTGGCTTTTGTGATGTAATGGAAAAAAGAATCAGATTGTTTCATAGTGGATCTTTTTAGCTTGGTAATTAAAAATAATATTTAGTTACATATAGTAAAATAAAGTACTTATCTATTTTATTAATAAATAGTTTACCATAACTACTACAGATTTTGGATGAAAACCATAAACAAGTATGTGGTTTTTTATTGACTTTATTGTAACCCTAATGTATTTATTTCTATCTATGTAAAATGTGTATAATTTATTTCAAATATGACTGCGGTGGCCGGCGATTTTGAATCTTACAGTAAGTAAATCAATAAAACATAATCGATTTTTAAGGTGTATTTTATTTAGCCCTATTATTAGATACTTATTTAGTTACTTATGTAGGTAATGTAGAATGGACACAATGTTGGAATCAAAGTACAAAATGAAACACTAAAGTATGTATGTCAGAAAATTTTACATATTTTTTTTCATCCAAGGTATGTATACATTGAATTTTCTAAGATATTTTGTCTAACATAACTTTTTTTAAAAGAACCACGTCAGTTGCCTCCTTCGTTACAACAAACTCCTTGCTATTTCCTATGATTTCGAAATTAGAATCCTAAAAATAATCAACTAACATCATACTAACACACAGATAATAGCGGCGATCCCAGAACTGCAATGGACGGATTCTGCAAGCTCTCGAAACACCATACAAGACTTGTCGAAGCTTCGTCTCGGACGACAAACCGTTTGATGTTAAAATTGTTTTATTATATTATTTTTGAGATGTATTATTATGTTTTAGTGTAGTTAAACCGAGCACACACGTGTAGACAACGTACTCGACAGTATATTGCCGCGGTAGAGAAGTTATCTGCTACTATGGCAGTATAGACTTCGGGGGTAAGCGCAACAACATAGAACGGGCCTAGCTGGGTGAAGCAACTAGGTGAATTTTAGTCAGTAAGAGTGAGATTTCTTCTCGATCAAACCAGGGCGATAGAAGAAAATATATAATCGGGGGATTATATATTTTCTTCTATTGCACAAGAAAAATATAAATATCTTAGAAGGGGCGGTTCGTTGTTCAGAGTTCCTAGAACAAGTTTGTTTTAGGATAACGCGTTTGAAGAATCGATACCGCGTTTAGCCCTCTGATCGGTAACTTGGAGCAGGCGAATCAGGGCACCCAACGTCATAAACTTGTCGATCGCCCTGAAGTAATTTAAACTCTTACGTACTCAAGATATACAATATACCTACATATTATTGTGAGAATCTAGTTTTACTATAAGTACAGTATGTGTATAGAAAGTACGCTATCGTGGTAGCCAGGTAGTGATGATATACGCTAAGGGACTGGCAGTGGTTAAATACAGCCATGGGTCGGCGCGTTAGGGAGTGATACCACGGCCTCATAGAAAACCGGCGTGAAACAATCACAGCGTTGTTTCGCCGCGTGAGTGAGGTTACCGGAGGCCCAATCCCTAATCCTCAAAAGGTCGACAATGCACTAGTAACTCCTCCATCATTGCGGTGTATCTATGGGCGGCGCTGATTGCTTACCATCAGGTAATCTGTCTGTTCGTTTACCGGTCTATCACAAAGCAGCTGACGGCCTCGAGCTGTTGATAAAGAGTAAGAATATATATAAATTAGTAAATAAAAAAATCGATTTAGGACTGCTTCTTTATTTATTAAACAAAAAATAAATATCAAAAAATTAAATGCTTTGTTACACTTTGGTAACTAAGGAATATCTTAAATCTAATTACATAATATTATGTATTTTGAGCTTAAATATATTGAAATCTTATTATGGAAGAACTACTACAATTAATTATTAAAATGTTTGAGGATTGGGAATCTTATGACATTTTTACATCAAAAATTTCTTTGGAAACACTACAGTTTGATTATGCGGAGGAGTTAATATTATACGAATTATCATGTACCGCCAAATCAGGCATTTAAGGGTTACTTAAATGCCTTTACTTAGCAATCGTTTTAAGAAATCTTAAAGTGTCTCTGAGTAAGACAGGCAAAGTCAAAGACTAGAATGTAAAGTTACACTGTATTTATCTGTTCCATATAATATAACATTTTAACAATTTTCAACCATTTATACTCGCTTCACCAAAATCGCAAACATCATAAAAATCAGTCTAGCCATTTTTGAGTTAGAAATGGCATTACTAACACGACCTTGTCTTAATTTGTTCATAGATTTTAAATCCAAAAATTCGTTTCGGTTCCATACCTATCCAAGAAAATGTTACATAATCTGGATGCACCACCTTTAAAGTCAATATATTACGATAAATATTCGTATAAGTCAAGTATGTATGTATTTAAGTCATGCTTATCATGGTATGAAAAAAATGATATGAAATAATAAATGGTACATTGGTACCTAAATATCAACTAGATACCTAATTATATATTCAAAAAACCTTGACAAGAAGGTTGTTTTCATTAACTTACATACTTTGGCATGACAGTTTATAATATATTCTACCCATGGACCATCTACATAAATATTAGGTACCTACCTTAATTCTAATAAAATGTATGAAACATGACAAATTATTTGAAAGAACCTACTATTTTATTATAGTGAATTTTAACATGCAACTTACTGAAAAATCTTTAAAAAATCTTGTTTTATTGAATTGGAATCTACCATTACTTTTGAATAGGGATAACGTTATTTCAATCCATTGATTATATTAATAAAAGTTAGCTGTGTATTTTTTCTTCCATGTATAATCAGTGACGTCACATTTAATATTCTTTAAATAAGTAGCCTGACTCTCCAATTTTGAATTTGCTTACAGACCCATAACTTGACATATACATCGCATCTAGAATCCACCCTGAACAGTACATAATTTGTGGATTAGGAGGTACCCAGAGAATTGTATGGTTCTGTGCCAGAATCAGTCAGTCAGCCTTTTCGCTAACCGTCGTACATTCGTTAAAGTCGAATATTCGTTATTATGACGTCACAATATTTCTTAAACATCAGCTAAATTGATTTGTTACTTTATATTACGCCCCAGCAAACGTCTACTGATCGAAAAGTTTCTCCAAATAAGGAACCAACTCCAAAGGATCCGTGTTAGGTCCAAACCTTTCAACGGGGACCCCATTCTTATCCACAATAAACTTAGAAAAGTTCCATTTTACAAAATCACCTAATGTACCTCCCTGCATTCTCTTCAAGAAGTTCCAAAGTGGATGAGCATCTTCCCCATTGACCGCGACCTTCTCAAACAAATCGAATTTTACTTGTTTAGCCTTAGTGAATTTGAGGATTTCTTCAGGGCTCCCTGGTTCTTGGTAAGCGAACTGATTGCAAGGGAAGGCCAGTATACGTAGACCTTTACCGCTATACTTTTCGTATAGTTCGTTCAGTTGTTTGTAATGTACGTTGGTGTAGCCGCAATTGGAGGCCACATTGACGATTATAAGTACTTGCCCTTTATACCTGTCGAGTTTTACCTCATTACCGTGGATGTCTTTGACAGTAAACTCGTGAACCGATTTCGCTTTCATGTAGTCTACTTCTGTTGGCTTTTTGGCTGGTTCTGTCTTCTTAACAGGTTCAGTTGACTTCTTGGCTGATACAGTTTCAGCGGTTTTTGATTCAGCTGGTTCAGGTTGTGGTTCGTTTTTTCTGTAAAAACAAATTGAAATTGGTACGTAATATACCTACTCATTTTAATTATTAACTTGCCTTTGACTGGGATAGAATGTCATATGGTATTAAGTCCCATGCTTATCATGTATTCTGTGTATTAAATTATATAAATAAATAAGTAAGGACTTACTTCTTTTCCTCATGGAATCGGATGAAAGTATCAACAGCATCAAAAATATCATCGGCCAGTACATCAGGCATCTCCATGGCGGCAAAATGACCTCCATCCTCTACTATAGAGCTATGCAAGTAGTTCTTATACTTCAGTCTAAGAATACTGTCCGGTTGGAAGCAGAGGTTGTATTTGAATTTGATACCCCATGTTGGTACGTCTGTCGGGATTCTGGAGAAGAAAATTGCGACTTTTAGGCGTGTATTTAATTTCTTATAATATCTGTTTTTGTTTCGGACTGCCTCGCCGTGTAGTAAGTGCTCAGCTCAGAGCAGTAAGATGTATAGCAAATTTTAATAGTCTATTGATTTTAGAATTGGGCAAAGTGTAATTAGGTTTTCTATTGCTTAAATGACTCATTAGATAGGTTTATTGTCAATTAGCTTTGGCCCGCGACTTCGCCCACGTGGTATGTTGATAAACAGAGGCCTGTGTGATCACCTTATACATACCAAATTCCAACCGAATCGATTCAACTGTTTTTGCGTTAAAGAATAATAAACATAGGTACATCCATACATTCTCACAAACATTTCACATACATAATATTGTAGTAGGATTAACATGGCTATTGAGAAAATTAGGCGAAATTTTTTATATCTCAGAAGAAACTTAAGCGAGATCTGGCTAAGGAGTGTGATATTGACAAAATACAATGCCAAGTTTTACACTCCAAACACAAGGAACAATTCTAAAAGGAGTTCTAAAATGTTCTAGAAAATTCCATACATCAAAACTCACCGATCCAAAACCCACAACTGTTTATACTCAGTGTAATGCCTCATGCTGCTGGTAATTGAATTAGTCGTCCAGTAAATCATTACATTATCCAGGAGATGTGTCAATGAGAATTTATGCAGTAAAGCTCCATCGATGGCCTGTTTATTATCCACATCCGTCCACGCTGAGAATTTTTCTAAGATATACGCTGCTAATCCGGCTGGAGAATCGGAGAGTGCTATGCCTGAAAAAATGAATATTACATTACGAATAAGCCAGTTCGACCGAAGCGATACAACGGCCTCAAAGGACACCGGCGTGATACTGCGTTTCGCTGTATCACTACATATTATAAAGCAGGCGCTTTCTTTGTTCCTATATACCTATGTATGGTTAAAACTTTAAAACTACGCAACATATTTTGATAAAGTTATTTTTTGTATATATAGAGTCGCTAATTGTGTATCATATCATCAGCCTACAAGTGCCCACTGCTGAGCAAAGCCCTCCTCTCACACGGAGAAGGTTTGAACATTAAACGCTTGCTGAAGCCGGAATGGCGATTTCAAACTACAAGTTTCCTCACGATGTTTGCCACCACCATAATTATGTCAGTGGTGTCTAAATAATAGATACATTTAACCTGGAAAAGTCATATTTGTACTTGCCAGGTTTTGAACCCATGCATAGCGGGCGGGCCTTAACCTACGGGCCACCGCGACAACTAGTAAGTTGTGTATGTCATTAATTTCTTACCGACAGTATCAGGTTTAGTGGCTTGCAAGTGGAAGTGGCCGGTCTCCTGTATAATGGTTCGGAGGTACTGCGACAGAGGGTACATACGGTCTGCCAGGGTAGGCTCAACTATGAAGCTTGGCCATATTGTTCCTGAAAACAGAAAATATGTTAATTATTCATAAAATTATTTCGTTATATAAATAAGACGTGGCCTAAAAGTGATTACTGAGAGTTCTGGTATGTAAGGTCTTTGTACCTAGTCGTATTCAAACGAATTTACTTGTAGTTTGTATCATATGAGTGAAATTAAAGTCTATCTAATTTTTTTTTAAGTGGATTACATGTATTATTATATTAATTTAAGAAAGTTTTGGTCACTAAGGAAGGGTCTAATATTATAAATGCGAAAGTAACTCTGTCTGTCTGTCTGTTTGTCTGTCTTTTCTTTACGCCAAAACTACTGAACCGATTTCTGTGAAATTTGGTACAGACATAGTTTGGAACTCGAGAAAGAACATAGAATATTTTTTATACCAAAAATCTGCAGAAAGTCAATATACTAGCAAAAGCTAGTGGGAAAATATACTTTGATAATCTTACCGAATAAAGTGTAAAATATGGCCATGGGACTCCACATAATAGTTGGTGTATTAGTATGGAATCCTAGCACAGTATCAGGGAACAGAGTGGCCATAACGGATCCAATCTTGGCGCCATAGTTCCCGCCTTGAACGTAATATTTGGTGAAACCAAGGCGCTTCATTAGGTTGTAGAATACTACCGCTACTTCTTGCGGTCCCATGCCTTGCTGCACTGGAGCCTGTCGATCAGGTGGTAAAGAAATTATGTACATATAGAAATAAGTTTCTAGGAGTTATGTTTTTCAGTCGGAGATGCGGGTTCAGCCGGTCAAGCGGGCAAGAAGGCACGGAATTGTTTTTTAGACAGTAAGAATCTGACACTCAATATCGCGCAACCCAGGCGGGAGAAGTAAATTGATGAGACTTCCGCTCAAAAAGAGTTTTTCTTAGATTTAAAATCTTTATTTATAAATGTTGGACCATGCCGATCTCAACGTAGCTCGTCCATAATATGGCATTTCTTATTTAACTTATTTATGTGAAATTGGGAATAGGTAAAAAACAAATCAATATCAATAATTTATGGCTCAAGTGTAAGTAGGGTCATAAGTCCCTATTAGGCCCTTGTCCCGTTTTATTTGGGGTCGGCGCAATATGCTTTTTTCTTCCATTCTGTCCTGTCACCCGTCACGCTATCACTAACTCTGTCTTCCATATCACTTCTCACACAATCCATCCATATTTTCTTTGGTCTCCCTCTCCTTCTCCATCCCTATAGATTTATACTCATGGCTTGTTTTGTAACATGTGTTTTATCCCTCCTTTTTACATGGCCATACCAAGACAAACGGTTCCCTTTCAAATTTTCAGTCACTGGCACCACATTCAAACTTCCTCTAATATACTCATTTCTCATTTTATTCATTCTCGTGACACCACACATCCACCTCAACATTCTCATCTCGGCTACATTCTTGCGTGACTTATACTTGTCATTATTTAATTGGTTACCTAAAAGACTTAAAGGTGCTCTGCCTAAGCGTTTATTGAAATGAATACAATTTACTATCTCATCAATTTAAAAGCTAAGTACAATATAATAAAGATACAGTAACTAACATTGAAAACTAAATAAGCTCTTGAAACAAGCAATTTCTGAGAAACTAAAAATATTATCCACTTACTTGAGAGTACCCAAATCCTGGAATGCTAGGCGCGATAACTTCGAAAACGAACTTCTGATTCGGACGAGGAGTAACCAGCTTCGGTATCAGTTCGTAAAATTCTCGAATAGAGCCAGGCCAGCCATGGATCAAGAGTATTGGTAAAACCTGAAACAAATATAGAGAATTGAGAATTATTTATTTATTTATTTTTATGTGTAGATTTACATAGAACATAAAACCTATGTAAATCAACAAATTATATATTCAATGGTTGCAAAGAACACTGTTTTGGTGATATGGGCTTGAGTTATTTTCATTATTATAGACATGGATGAAGTATCTCCTAGAACTAGAGTGCTATAAATGGCCTTAGTTGATTCATAGCAGGTCTCATTTGAAGCTACATAGTATTGGATATTAGATTAAAATTCTCTGCAGTAAAACAAACTTCAGAATAAAGTTTGTAATTAACCAGTAAGCTCACTATTTATTACTAAGCCCTTGTCATAACTACATGGGGGATTGTAGGTGTTATCTTCTTTCATACAAATAAAAGCATATGTATACTTATAACTTACAGTAATATCATCTCCAACACCTAAGTCTGGCTTCACATGCATATAATGTACATCTAAACCTTGTATGCCAGTTACAAAATGGTTGTATTTGTTCAAGAACCGTTCTCGTTCCTCAAAATTGTACTCTTTCTGCCAGAAATCCAGTACTTTAGGCAGGAATAGACTGTTGAAACCATATGAGAAGCCCGCACTGTCTAAAGGAGGTGCGAATTGAGCTCTGTGCAGTAACCGCTCTTTGAGATCGTTTACTTTCTGGAAAATTAATTATTGTTTTTATAGGATGGGGTCATCAAGAGCAGGCATATAATCCAATGGGTAGCGATCAGTTCGTCCATGGACATCCACATGTTACAGAATTACAATTAGGTATCAGGTTTCTCAATAAACATTGTTTCATAATACAAAATACAATTCAACGTAATTACTTATTTTATGCTCAGCATTGGACCATTATTTACTAGACTGATTACTTGATGGTAAGTGGTTAGGGCCACTATTCAGACAGCAAAAAAGAAATAAATAATAATACTTACTATATCCGAGAATTCAATCATGAATGGTCTTATGGAAGTATCAATCTCAGTCTTTGGGTATGAACCCCACCATTGTTCGAAGTCCACATTTGGAATCACACAATCCGTTTTGAAGAAATACAATTTAGAACTGGCCGCTAATAAAAAGATAATGGCAATAACAAAGTATTTTTTTGGTATCTGTGGACAGAAATTATGAGTAAATAAATGTACTTATATAAAAATTCAAGGAAAAAAAAATGAAAAAGTATTCTTTAACGAATTCCTTGTGTTTTAAATAACAAAATAGAATCTTACATATAGAGATCTTTTTTCATATTTCTTTTCATACTGCTGCTTCTGCGCTTTAGTCAAAGGCCTCTTGGAACTCATGGTCTTAACCGTTCGATATCTGAAAATAAATGAACAAAACCTGATTGTTTTTTGCCTATAGATCTAATAAATAATACCGGCACTTGGGCAGTGACGATTCAAAACAAACAAGTCATCGAGAAAACTTTTTTAAACTTACCACGTAAGCTGTAATTTTGTTATTTTTGAGCGGTTTTTGTTTTGATCTATTAAAGTTCTATTTTATTTCAATATTACTACATATATGATACTTTGATTCAAAGAAGCCAATGGCTGGCAATTAGAATTCAAGGAGATAAAATCAATAACTATTTAACTAATGACAGAATTGACAAATACAAATGACAGCTGATGTTAACAATTCGTAAATTCAGCAATCAACTTGAAGTAATTTAAAAAATCTTAATTTCACCTTATTTGTAAGTTGAATTTAGCAGTGTTTCAATATTTTTATTATAATCAGGGGCACAACACTTTTTCGTGTTTGAAAATACAGGAAACACTGTTAGTTTACGCTTCCTTCTGATAGATGGCAGTACTAGTTTTAAATATACCTACCTACCTAACGTTTATCGGATCGTGTGATAGTCCTATTCGTAGTAAGGGGTAAATCCTAATTAAATCAAATAGCCTGCTTGTAAAATGGTTCTTTTAACATAGGTATCTTGTTTATCTTAGTCTTATTTAAGCCTTAATTTACATTTCATCTGGATTATTTTTTTTGTAATCATACATTATTTTCAATTGTGGCTGAGCTGTACCTAGGTATCTATTATATTACCTTGAGATCAATTGTTTATGTCTACCTATAGTTGCAAAAATATTCTATTCTATAAAACAGCTAAATAACAATAATTACTGAAATGTAGGTAGGTATAGGCAAATCTTTGTCAATTCCTTCAGGGCATGACAAACATGATGACGTTATGCAAACAATTTTCTTCCATAATATTATACGAGTACAATTGCATAACACAATTTATCGAGTGCGTTGCATCGAGTCACTTGATCATTTGGTCGCGTAAAAGTGATCTCGTTTCAAGTTCCGTGGAGTGGGACCCTTTCACGCGTTTTATTTTAGTTCTACTTACCTACTCAAGTTACATCTGAGTGTGAAGTAATTAGTTTTATAATCATTAATATGTTCTCTATTTCAAGAGGCCTTGTATTGAACTATTATGCCCAATAACTAATACGAGAAACTATGTAGGTACTTAGACAGGAATAAGTCAAAACATAAGTAGGTACTTAGGTATATGTATGTAGATATAAGTATGGGTATTGCAATTGCGGGTGCATTTAGGTGCTTCGAGCTGCACCACCAAGTACATAGGTCTTAAAGATATCATTAACTAACTTTTGCCCGCGATTGTGTATAATTTGGTACAGACAAACTGTATTCTGGGGTCTGAGGTACAGACATAGTTTGAAACTGTCGAAAGGACATAGTCACTATTCCACGCGAACAAAGGCGTGGAATAGTGACTTCCTGCAGATTTTGGGTTCTGAGGTACAGACATAGTTTGAAACTGTCGAAAGGACATAGTCACTATTCCATGCGAACAAAGGCGTGAAATAGTGACTTCCTGCAGATTTTGGGTTCTGAGGTACAGACATAGTTTGAAACTGTCGAAAGGACATAGTCACTATTCCACGCGAACAAAGGCGTGAAATAGTGACTTCCTGCAGATTTTGGGTTCTGAGGTACAGACATAGTTTGAAACTGTCGAAAGGACATAGTCACTATTCCACGCGAACAAAGGCGTGGAATAGTGACTTCCTGCAGATTTTGGGTTCTGAGGTACAGACATAGTTTGAAACTGTCGAAAGGACATAGTCACTATTCCACGCGAACAAAGGCGTGAAATAGTGACTTCCTGCAGATTTTGGGTTCTGAGGTACAGACATAGTTTGAAACTGTCGAAAGGACATAGTCACTATTCCATGCGAACAAAGGCGTGGAATAGTGACTTCCTGCAGATTTTGGGTTCTGAGGTAGGTACAGACATAGTTTGAAACTGTCGAAAGGACATAGTCACTATTCCACGCGAACAAAGGCGTGAAATAGTGACTTAAGAATTACTTCGTGGATGGAACTGGAAGTAGGTATTAGTAATATTCTAACTGTCACAGGAAGAGAAAGGGCTACTCGGAAATCGCGAACGACCTAGATATCTAAACTATTTTATCTAAATGCTTACATAAGGGCTTTGACAAAACTTAAAAGCTACGAGGTACTTTTAAATGCTTAGGAATAATCTAATTGCGTAAAGTTCTCAAAACCCTTTCATTGATGGAAATTAAGTAACTGGCAATCACGCAAAAAACATTAACAGATGCCATTAAAACAAAAGAATACATACAACTTCGAAATTTAAATGCACGAGCATATCGCGATAAATAATCAAAATGGCGCCCAGGTACACATTATTATGCGAAATAATGAAGAAATTATTGACGTGTGAAACGAATATGCGAAATAAATCCGAATGAATGGGAGCTGTCACAATAGGGGCCGCAAGGCTCGCTTTTAATTGAACTTGCGGGGCCAATATGGAAGGTAGATTTTTTATTTTTTCATTTAACCGCTGCTAGATACAGTACCGTAGGGTTGGCATGCTAAATTTTGGGATCTCATTGTAAATTCAATTACTTTCAGTTATGAGATAAACTAAACTACACATTTCCTTTAAATTAGCTCGTCTATATATTAATTAAAAGCGACAAAAGGCCTCATTAAAGTGTCAAATACGTGAATTACTACAAAACACAAGAGAAATGATACCTACTTCACTTACTTCACTAAAGAATCCATGTCGAGTATATAATAAATATTATCTCAAATAGAACAGTTTGTTTCTCAAATCGTGACTTTGTTATTAACGTTTACATGATTAGAAGCAATTAATTATTCCACTTAATAACAAATTGCTTTGCATGTTTTATTTGAGAATTGTTTAAATGAAAATTTTAATCAAGTCTATATAATTAATATGTATCTAAACGTAAAATAAGAAGTTATACAACAAAAAACATCTAGAATCTAGTTACACATTGTCAATTTGGTATGTGTAACGACAATATAAAATATCACTGAATATGGACACCCCTACTGAACACCCACCACGCTTCCATAGCGCTATCACGGCTCTCAGCCCTGTCACCATTTTCCCATTTTTCCCGCCCACCCGTACAAAACCAAAACGTCGTAAAATCTCTTACATACACTCAACATTCAACCTTATTGACGTACACAAACAAGCAACATCGAGAAAAATCGTTTAAAAATCGAATATAAGTTACGTTGTTTATGGTTCCAGTCACAGCTTAGCGATGCGGTTTTTCGAATGAAAACCTCTTTTCAGGGAATTGACAAGTGAATTTAATATTGGTTTTAACCGATAAGTACTAAATTAAAATCATTGAAAGTTACCGGTTCGATGATGATAGTTGTGGTCGCTGTGTAAATGAGATAATGATTCAAGTAATTATTTCGTTCATTTTCAGTTCAGTGAGTGTAATGTTAATAAAAAAAGAAGACGGGTACAGGTCGTTTTAATTATGTAAGTAAGTAGGTATATTTGGACAATTTATAGTATCTATACTGATTACAAAATTCTCAATAATCCTATTTTATTTTCTCAAAGGAATACCGAATCAAAACAGCAATATGCCAATATTTCGCGGCAAGGAAAATTACCTAAAAATCTTTATTAGTTTTAAGGAAGTCATTTTTTCCACAATAAATGCTTTCAAACCCAGGTGAGGATTAAGCCTGACAAGTGCGCTAAGCAAGCACCTCAGGGCGACCCTAATTTGCGCCCCTAATTTTTTTCTGAGATCCTTACTGCTCTTTTTTCTTTTTTTGCCCCGGAATAAGTTGGAAAACGAGCAGACGGATCACCGTAACACTACAGGAGTTGCAACTTCTTTTCCAGCCTTTTGTGGTTTGTTAGAGATTTGAGGATTGGGGATTTAGGGGTTGGTTGGGTATGAGGGGATGGCTTTTGCTTATCCCCATATGGTTTGGGTTTCCAGTAACCTCACTGTTAATGTGAAACTTAACGCAAGCGGGGTTTCACGCCAATATTCTGTGAGGCCGTGGTATCAATCTGGTCCGTTCATTCGTGCCGAAGCTTTGCCTCCCACACAGTAGTTGGTCTATGACTGTCCACAAAATAACTACTTATAAATCGCGACCTTATTACTAGTTATGCCATTGATTATCCATATCTGGTTGTTCACAAATGCCCCATGGGAGTAAAACGAGGAAGTCTGAGGGTAGTAGGGAACGCCCGGGGTGAGGTGGTCTTGGCGGTGTCGCTCGACATCGCTAACGCTTTCAACACCTTGCCCTGGAGTACCATCCGAGAGGCACTCCGGTATCACGGGGTGCCGCGCTACCTCCAACGCATTGTCGGGGCCTATTTGTCGGACAGGTCGGTGGTGTACCCGGGTCGAGAAGGATGGGGTCGGCGAGAGACGTCGTGCGGCGTTCCGCAGGGTTCGGTGTTGGGGCCGCTCTTGTGGAACGTTGGCTACGACTGGGCTCTGCGCGGTGCGCTACTCCACGGCGTCGGCGTCATTTGTTACGCCGACGATACGCTAGTTACAGCGCGTGGGAAGTCGTACCGGCAGGCGGCCATACGCGCGACGGCTGGTGTCGCGCACGTCGTGGGTAGGATCCGGCGGCTGGGCTTAGAGGTGGCATTGCACAAATCGGAGGCCCTGTGTTTTCATGGGCCGAGGATGAGGCCGCCTCAAGGATCCAGCATTATAGTAGGAGGGGTTTCCATCGCTGTTGAGTCCACGATGAAGTACCTCGGACTCGTTCTCGACAGTCGGTGGAATTTCGGGCCGCACTTTACACGGCTCGCCCCCCGGTTGATGGGCGCCGCTGCTGCGCTGTCGCGCTTGCTGCCCAACCAGGGGGGGCCCATCTCCTCCTGCCGGAGGCTCTACATGGGGGTCGTACGGTCGATGGCGTTATACGCTGCGCCAGTATGGGCGGACGCCCTGACGGCCCGCAACATCGCCGCGCTGCGAAGGCCACAGCGCGCGATGGCCGTCAGGATAATCAGGGGATACCGTACGATCTCCTTTGAGGCAGCGAGCCTCCTAGCCG